AACTCCATCCCCTCTTCTTCCTGTGACATCGGCAAGCGGGATAGGGCATCTGCTACCTGGTTTTCGGCACCTCGCTGGAACTCCACCGTGAAGTTGTACTTCAGTAGGCGATGTGACCAACGGGTGATCCGTAGCGGGCGACGTCCTGCTCCTCCGGTGGACAGCAAAGACACGAGTGTTTGATGGTCCGTGTGAAGGGTAAAGTGGCGGCCCCATAAGTATATGTGCCATTTTTCGCACGCCCACAAACACGCAAGCGCTTCTTTTTCCCCGACCGAGTATCGCCGCTCTGTCAAAGTGAGCGTCCTTGAGGCGAATGCGACAGGGAAGACGTCGTCACCATGACGCTGCTGCAGCACAGCCCCAATGCCGTATGCCGACGCGTCTGTGGCCACGATGGTGGGCAACGTGGGGTCGAACATTCTTAGTGTCCTGGCAGATGACAGCAGCCTCTTGACTTGGTTGAAGCTTCTGTCCGCCTCGTTGTCCCAGACGAACGGAGTGTCTTTTCGCAGGAACCTTCGAAGAGGTTCGACCTCAGACGCTAACCGAGGCACGAAGCGAGAGTAATACTCCACCATCCCCAGAAGAGAACGGAGTTGGGTGATGTCCGTGGGGATAGGGGCAGCGTTGAGTGCATCCACCTTCGTTTGTAGCGGAGCAATCCCTTGAGCGCTGACTTTATGACCCAAAAACGAAAATTCTGGCACATCGAATAGGCACTTGTTGTTGAGTTTCAGTCCAGCGTCCGAGATACGCCGCAGCACCTCACGCAGACGATGTGTGTGCTCCTCCTTGGTCCTGCCAAAAACAACAACGTCGTCAAGGTAGACCAACACACCTTCGCAGTCGTGAAGCATTTCCGACATCATCTGCTGGAAAGCTGCTGGCGCCGATGCCAGTCCGAAACATACTCTCTTGAACCGGAAGAGACCTTCGTGTGTAATAAATGCGGTTAGGTCCCGGCTATCTTTATGTAGCGCCACTAAGTCAAGCTGGGAAAAATGTTTGGCACCATGTAAAGCATGCAGAAGTTCTTCTATGTGCGGAAGAGGAAAGCTATCAATAACGACAGCTTTGTTGGCTTCCCGCAAGTCCACGCACATTCGAATTGAGCCGTCTTTCTTCTGCACCACCACAATTGGTGATACCCATTCGGAGGAATTAATCCGCTCGATGACCCCAGCCGCTTTCAAGCGTCTGATTTCTTCTGATACTGGCTGACGCGCTGCTAGAGGAATACGTCTCATTCGATGACGGACGGGAATGACAGAAGGTCGAATGTTTACCTTGAGGACAACGTCCTTGACACGGTCAAGACCCGGACTGAAGAGGTGCTCGAAGTTGCTCATGGAAGGCGGCAGGTTTGGCTTTGCTGGTTCAGGCACCACTGAAGCTGCAGCCTGTGGTGGAGACGATGCTGAGGCCAGCTGACTTTGCACCCTTGCCGACCACTCATTTCTCAATGCACTTGACGCTTCGTCCTGTGGGGCCGGTGTCAACCTCTCGTCCTCCTCTCTCGGCATGTCGCCAGAACCCTCTGTATCAGTATAGAAGCACGACCGAGTGGCGCCACTCATCTGGATATCGAGGGCTACAACAGCGTCCATGCCGAGTAAAGAAGCACCACGGTCAGCAATGTAAAAAAGTGCTGTTGCCGCACGCTCCCTGAACATTACCGGTGCCTCGAATGCTCCCAGAATGGTGATGGGTTGCTGAGAAAAGTTCAGGAGCTTCACAGGTGGTGGTACAACTGTCGCCTTGCTCGCGAAATACCGGACGAACATGGCACTATCCACGATGGAGACGGCTGACCCCGTGTCAAGAAGAAACTGCAGCGTCGAGTCAAATACCTGGATGTTTAAGTACAGCTTGGTTTGAGAAGGTCCGGAAATGTGGGACACCTCCCACTGCTCGTCGTCGTCATCGTAGTAGTCGTCGACGATCTGCTCAACTTGATCACGCGGGCGGCGCAGCAGGGATCGGCGAACACTTCTACAAGCGCGTTAAAAATGTCCCCGACGACCGCAGTTGTCGCAGTTCTGACCTCTCGCTGGGCAGACGTCATAGCCCCTGCAGTGTTCCTGACCGTAACCGCAGTTGGGACATGTTCTTCCGTAGCCGTAGTTCCGCCTTGGAGATGGTTGCCGCCGCGGTGATTCGAAACGCACGGAACGCCGAAACGCCGATCGTCCAGGGCTCTGTTGACGACTGCCACGGTCGAAACCACCATCGCCGCTACGGCCGCAGGTTACGCAGCTCTGCTGGCATAGGCGAGCGCGAAGCGCGTGCGTTCACTGACCGGGCTGAAGCAGCTGAAGAACGCCCCGAAGGAGATCGCACAGGTGACTCACGGCGCGAGCGCCACGGCTCGTGCAAAGATGACATCCTCGGCTGAGGTTGACTCGTTGCGCGCCCTGTGACGTGGCAGGTCACGTGCTCCTCCGACGCCGTCGACGACGCAGCTGGCGCAGTTGTCGATGCCCATTCTCGAACTTCCCAGCGTGAGCGTTCCAAATTAAGGACAGTCTGTAAGGCCACGCTGAACGGCAGCGCGGCGTCAAGTACCAGGCGTTCTTGAATCTCTGAGGAAGCAGCACCCACCATGAACTGTCGGCGGATGACGGCCTCGGTGTCGGCACCGAAGTTCGCCGGCACGGCCAATGCTCGGAGTGCTGAGAGAAAGTCACGCAGAGATTCTCCTTCTTGCTGTTTTCTCATGTGAAACCGGAGTTGTTGCAGGGTCTCGTTGACCGGCTGCGAAAATTCAGCCTCGAGGACCGTGAGGGTCTCTCTATACACGTCGCGAGACGCTTGCCGGGCTTGCTGACCGTCTCCCGCCGGTGACGTTGCTGGCGCCGGTCCAACGGGAGCTGGTAGAGAGTCATAGATGCGCTGGCCTTCGACTCCCAGGCAGTTGAGCAGCTTTGCTTGGCGTCGTTCGGCGGAATATTCCTGAGCGCCAGTAGCCAATATGTATCGCTCGAACATTCGTAGCCGCGATTTCCACGGTATCGGTGGCCTACCGGCCTTGTCCAGGAAGTTTGGTGGTGGCCGGTCACAGTCAGCCATGCTTGCGGCTAAGATGTCGGCTCAGGAATCGAGGAGGACGTTCGCAATGGAACGCACGGCCATTGACAACCAGCAACCGAGGTTCTCTGGTGAGCCCGGAATTCGTCGGAAGCAGGCGTCGTCGCGACGCCAGGCACCCCCGCCGACGTGAGCTTATGCCGAACGACGCACGTTTCCTCTGGGAGTGAGAGTGCCCAGGTTCAGCACCCTCGTCGCCAAAACTGTGGAGGCAGCCTAGAAAGCGACCAGCCAAGTCGGAGTCACATTGCAAAACTGTTTTAATTCTCGAGCAGAAAGAGAGAAAGAGAGAAGAAAAGAAACTAACAAACCAACAGACAGACAGAGGCCGCGCAGCACAGCGCGCGCTCTTGGCGCGTGCCGTTCGGCAGCGGTGCAGGTGTAAGGGGGCCACTGCCACAGATGCCACCAAAGAAGGAACAAACAAAAGAGGGAAGAATTTAGATCGTACAACTAAACATAACAGCAACCTTCCGCACTGGAGGCAAAGCTATACTAAACCTTCTCTACCCACTTATTTCACACCCTATCCCTCTTGTCCTTGCGAGCATTTTCCTGGTGGAGAATATTACGCATGGGCAATAAACCCCCATTCACGCTTTAAATATCACATCACATCACATCACATCACATCACCCCCCCCCCTCCCCCCCGCTCCTTCTTTCAAGTAAGAAACATTTGCAGTCAGGATGACGGGTAGAACTTCCACCTCTCAAGTAAACACACATAAGAAGGTTTATCTTACCTTTTCACTTTCCTCCCGGTAGCTCAACATTGTTGAGAGCTAAAAAATACCCCAGGTTAAAGCTGACAAACCAGTGTGCGGCGGCTCCTGCCCCTTCCTTCTCAAACTCCCCTCTCCAGCTTCACCGGCAGGCAGTGTTGGTGTTGGTAGTGTGCACCGGCCATGTCGCCTCGGTGTTGTCTTTATTTCTCTAATTCGGTGCATTTCAAACATGCGGCGTTCGCGTGATTTATTTATTTATTTATTTGAAATACTATCGGTCCTACACAGGATTAAGATAGAGTGGATTTTGCACAAAACAAACAAACAAAAAAAGAAATACACGCGCTCAAAATGCACAGATTAATAACCCGTATTCCACACAACGGTGAAATGACAACCCTAGGTACTGCTGTCAGAAATCTCTGAAATAAGGGAACTAAACTCTTCTCGAGTTTCAGCGGTGAAGACATGTGCCGGTAGCTTGTTCCATTCTCGCCCTGTTTACAAGAAGAACGCAAGGATAATTTTGACTGACAATGACCAGCCGCAGGCACTGATATCTCTTTTGACTCCAACGGCAGGAAGCCTTTTGAGATGAGAGCACGCTGCTATGTTTGAATGGTTATCTTTTTTCACTTAGGCAAAATTAAACCTGATTCAAATATTTACCTCGAGTGGCTCATATCTCGATACGTTGATGAATTATGGCAATTAAAACATATTCACTCACGTTTAACACTAATAAGGTCGCCGTACCCTGAAAATTGGGGTTTTATAGTCACCATCAAGTGTGGTTTTGTGAGTGGTGCTCAATAAAAATATAATTTAGATTGATTTACTTTTCGTGGACAATCATGTTAGAGTTTCTAGTCAAGTGATGAAACTATCAATTCAATTCAATGTTTATTTGATGAGTTGAAGGGTTTGGTCCCATGTCCTGGGACCGGCTACTTCAAATCAAGTAATGTACAGAGTGAATGATGTTTAGCATCCAATTATAAAATCCGAGCACCATGAATATTCTCAGTTACCGAACACGCAAAAACAAAATTACACGGTGAGAGAAGCGATTACGCAATACATATGTACAATAGAGTACTGTAACGTAGTAATAAAATTACAACAAAAAAACGCAGTTATCCTTTAACGGCGCGTCGTGCGTATTTTGACCTTCGAATAATACCTAATATCTGTCAACTATCTTTGTGTCAGTAAAAAAATCACGTAGTAAAGTTGATGCCCTCTTCTGGCTTTTTAAGTCTGGCCAAGGACCTAAAACTTTGGCCAGAGAAAAAGAGCGACTTTCGAGTATGCTTAGTCCCACTCGTAATCGAGTTCGCCACTGGTCATATCTTGGAGAGTCCATTATTATGAGCTCGACGTCTTCCACGGGATGGCCACACGTGCAGCTCGGCACCTGTTGAATTCGGCAAAGAAATCTGCCGGTATACGCGACATTTAGTCGTAGGCGATGAATTAATGTCTCAATAGGTCTGCTCAAGTAATTATGAACTGGACACCGAAGGTCTGGGTCAATTAAAAGGAGTAGGCTCTGTTCCGAGATGCTCTTGAGCCACGTGTCAGGGGACATTCTGTTTCTCAGACAACGAATGTACCGCTTGGCGTCGCTTTTTGTAAAAGGTGTGAGCTGGACGTTGTTGCTTGTATATGCACCCGTGGCCAGTTGGTCAGCTTGGGTGTTTCCTGAAACACCGCTATGTCCAGGAACCCATTGAATGTGTATCGTATGCCCCAATCTTATAGCTTCCCCAAGTTCTTCACAAATTCGGTACACAAGAGACATATTTTCGTTGCGAGTATTCAGGGTCTTAATGGAATGCGGTGCTGGCTTGGAGTCGGTACATATAACCCAGGAATTTGCCGTCAAGCTATTTTTGATGTACATTGCAGCCGCGAGTAAAGCATGCAATTCTGCGGTAGTTGAAGAAGTATGATGTGACAACCGAAAGGATGACCAATGGTTGAAATGGGGTACCACAAATGCTGATGTTGATCTTTCATCCTTGGTTGATCCGTCGGTATACACGTGGATGTTATCGTCGTATTTTTGCAGTAGATGTGCAAGAGTCAGTGTCCTTGCAACGTGCGTATTGACCGATGCTTTTGTTTCCATGCCTGGAATGTTCATATTGATGTCGAGTAATGGTAACGTCCATGGTGGCTTATGAATGTCCTGAACCCAGTGTGTTTGTTCAGGGATTATCATTGGCACGGAATTTAATGTTCGAAGAAAGTTTGTCCCTTTGCGAGAAAGAATTTCATTAAAAAAGGGACGCGCAGAAAGTCTAAAAAAATTACAACATACTTCCTGGATTCTTAGGATAGTTACTGGTGGTTCTTTGGCTGCAGCGAGTACAAGCACACTGGGTGTTGCTCGCAGAAGGCCTAAGCATATTCTTAGACTTCTTGCAAGCATATAAGTAAGGCGAGCTTCTATACCTGTAACACAGGTATAGAATAGGCAATCGCTTGTCGCACTAGCGCCGTGTGGAATGAAAGCATTCAATCTATTGAGGCTCCCCATTTTGCACCCGCGATGCATCGAAAAACATTAATTACACTATTAACTCTCCCCTCCAGCATATCTATATGTTTGGACCAAGTCAGGGATTGATCCAGTAGGACACCAAGAAATTTGTATGATTGAACTCGCTGAATTGAGTCTCCATTTACATTAAGTTCAAAACCAGGAAGCCTTTTTCTGGTAAATGGTATAAATGCCAATTTCGCGGCAGATAGCTCCATTCCTCGTTATCTTAAAAACTTGTTTGTCATGTCTAAGGCTATCTGTAACTGATTCTTTAAAATATCTGGGGATAAGCCAGAGATCCAGATACAAATATCGTCAGCATATATAGATATTCGTAAAGGTGGCTGGAGTTCCTGCAGTAACTGGGCCATTACGACATTGAAAAGAGTAGGGTTCAACACGCTACCTTGCGGTACTCCATGGTGCAGTTCATGATGCTTGCTGTCCCCATCATTTGTACACACTACGATGTTCCTGCATTGAAGAAACTCTTGTATCCAGCGAAGTATGCGTCCATATACATCAAGAAGCACCATTCCTTCAAGAACATGAGCGTGACTAACCGTATGGAATGCTCGGCGAATATCTAGGAACACTGCCACCGTAATGTTTCTGTTATCTCGTTCGTACTCTACACAGGTGGTGACGTCTAAGTTGCCATCCATTGTGCATCTACGTGGACGGAATCCTGTAATTTCTTCGGGAAACGCTTTACTAGTTTCCAACCACCACTGTAAGCGGTTATGTAAGATCTTCTCAAGTAGCTTTCCGACGCAACTGGTTAAACTTACAGGGCGGAAGGAATCCAGGCTCAGTAGTGATTTTCCAGGTTTTAAGAGCGGAACTATTTGAGCTAACTTCCACGATTCCGGTATTGTCTCTGTTCTCCAAACTTCGTTGTATATCTCGAGAAGTGTGCTGGTGGCATCGGGGCCGAGATTTGCTAGCGCTTCGTAAGTGATCTTATCGAGACCAGGAGCTGTAGACTTGCGGGTGTTGTGAAGCGCACACAAAATTTCACGTATGTTGATTTCATGATCTAGCTCTGCATGCACTAGATGCCTCTCGTTTTCGAAGGTACGAGTAGCCTGCGTCTTAGAATATTTGTATTGGGAAGTTGTTACCACATCACTTTGTTGTGCTAACAGAGCGCAAAATTCATCCGCGATTGTCACTTCCGATATGCCCCTCAGAAGAGCTAGCGCGCGGAAAGGTTGCATAACCGGCGTGCGAAGAGAACGAAGTATTTTCCATACTATTGGAATCGGTGTGAACGGGGCCAGATTACCGCTGAACTTCCTCCATCGACGGACTGAAAGAATTTGCAGCTCTCGACGCATAAGCTTGTGAATATGTTGGGCCTGGTTATAATCTTCCACATTTCCTGATCTTCTATAGCGTCGTTCTGCTCTTCGTCTTTCTGCGCGTAGCTTTTCGTATTCACCATTAACACCAACGTGTCCGTTAGGTACAGCTAGGTACAAGACGCGTTGCTCGTTCGTAATTAAGCAAAATCGAGTTTGCAAAATCATCGGGCTCTTTCAAATCGGTATGTCTTAAAGTATTTAAATGTATGAACATCTGGCAGTTTGTTATCCGTGTTCTCTGTTGCTGCCCACGAATATTAAGAAGAGGGTGTTGTACGAGAATGGGAAAGTGGTCGCTACCTCGGGTTTCCCTGCCTGTCATCCATGTCATTTGAGGAGAGATGTCTGGAGAGCATAGAGTCAGGTCTAAACAGCTGCAGTAGGTAGGGCCACGAACAAAGGTCGGGGATCCGTCGTTGAGGACGCATATGTTGTACTTGTCCACATACTCGGCAATGACATTTCCACGTCGATCGCCATGGTCACTCCCCCACATTGTGTGATGTCCATTGAAGTCTTCACACATAATAAAAGGAGCTGATACGAGACGAAATATTTAGAAAACCCAAATGAAGTTATTGGAGTTTGAGGTTCGATGTACACGCTCACAACTGTAACTGAAGACTTACCACACCGTACCTTGCAGGCGACGAATTCTGGGATATCTTTTGTCGAAGAGAATAGGTGCGCAGATACCAGATCTTTCTGTACAGCTAGCATCGCTCGACTTTGACCATTTTGACGAGATGATTTGTACTGCACATAGTTTGAGAGGCGAAAGTCGTCGTCCACGCGAGCTTCAGTTAATGCAAGTATTGGTATAGTGTTCTTTTTAAGAAATTGACGAAAATCACCAGACTTTTGCCGTAATCCGTTGGCATTCCACTGAAATATTCCTATATGGCTGTACAAATCAGGCATTGGGATACACTTCATTCATCAATGTTCGTGAAGACTTAAGTAGTCTTTCCATAGCTAATAGTGCTGTTACCTCAGGAAGATTGTTAGCTGCGGGCACGGCGCTGAGTATGGCCCTTAGAGCCGTAAAAAACATGGGTACCAGCAAATGCGAGACGTCGCTCGATTGCCGTGTCTCAAAGTGATCCTCCCGATGATCGCGTCTGCACATATCACGCTTCTGTGTGCGGGGTGCTGGTACAGGGGAGAGGTTTGATGTTCGCTCTCCTGGAGGCGTTTGACCGGGAATCGTCGAGTTTAGGTGGGATGGAGTCTTGAAGTTGATCTGGGTGTTTTGTTGGCGTTTTAACACGTCAGAATACTGCGACCTTTGAGTTGGTTGAGATACTTGTGTCTGCTGTGATGATGTAGAGGGACGAGGGGGAAGTGTTGGTGGGCGAGAAGGTGGTAGAGGAGGCAACGGGGCGCGCGTGACCTCAAGATTCGGAAAAGGATGACGGTTATTTTGTATTGGTCCATTCAGGATTTCATGTTTTCTGGCTGCAGCTGCTGCCTTTTTGTGAGGACAGCCTGAGAACGAAGCACAGTGATTGACTCCACAATTTGCACACTTTGGATAAGTTTTGTCCATGCAGTCCTTGTAGCTGTGTGATCCAGCACACACCTTGCATCTCCGTTGGCAGCGACAATGTCTTGCGAGGTGCCCATGCCGTTGGCATCGAAAACACTGTACCGGGGTTCCAAGGTACTCCATCACAGGGTGACTGGTGAAGCCAAACAGGACCCGTGCAGGCATCGGGTGATTCTGTGGAAAGTGAAGCAGGACACTTTCTGTTGGTTGTTGCTCCATGCTGCCGTCTTCTTTTCTTGAATATGCAATTTGTCGTTGGACTGCGATGACACCAGCGTCCTTCAGGTAGTCTAGCAGTTCGTAGTCTGAGTATTGAACAGGAATGTTGTTGACCTTGCCAACATTGCGTGTGTATGACTCGGACACGGTCACTGTCACGTCGATTCCGACAAGAGATTTCATAGTAAGCCTGTTCGTTGAGTTCAGCGTCGATGTGTTGACCGTGACTGTGCCATCTTTCCTTATGCGTGGTGCTTGTAATTTCTCTTGCGATACTGTCACAATTTCTTTTGCTATTCTGTTGGGGTTGAACCTCCAGAACGAGGTTCCCTGTTCTTTTGGCTTGATGATCAGCGGGATTCCGGCGGGGCGATTTTTCCGCACTGTGACTTGAGTGAAGTCGTCTTCGTCTCCAGGAGTGCCGTCATGAAACGAGTAGTTGGATGTCCACTCCTCGACCATTTGTTCCGAGGGAAGATTCACGCACTGTTTCTTCGATGGAACGTCGTAATTGATGTCCTTAGCCGTCAGTTGAGGTTCTTGTAATGGTTGACGTGTTTCCGCTGCAGAAATGTGGCTCGTAGTCGCGACGGTATCCATCTGAGCGTCCGAGGTCAAAGTCTGGTGGATCGGGTCATCGAAGCGGGGCACCTCTGTCGCAAGTGGTCGCTTCTTAGGCGGCAGGGTTGTGCCCGGTAATAGCCCCGTAGGGTCCAGTTACTAAAACAAATTTTAAGATAGCCAAATTGAGCAGAATAGCATAAAATTTCAATCTTACAGGAAGAGCGGCGGAAAATGATGCTGGCTATTCCAATCGTCGTCGTCGTTTTTCGTGATGAAACTAATAATGAATATGCCACTCAGACTAAAATATGAAAGATAAGAATATAGTGAATGAATTAAACCGAAATATTATTATTCCAAATATTTTTTTTGTTATTTTTACCCTGGTGACAAGTGGACAATAGATGGGTTGCACGTGACGTCACTCGAAGAGCGCTCCGATGACCACCAGAGAAGAGGGAAAGAAGGAGCTCCCCTCTTATCAGGATCCTCTTTTGTCAATTAAAACTTGTTGTTGGCCTAGTTGGTTCATGATGCAGAATAGAGGTTTTTTGCGCGACACAGGGGACAATTACAAGCGAGTAGACACGGACAAGCGCTTGTCCGTGTCTACTCGCTTGTAATTGTCCCCTGTGTCGCGCAAAAAACCTCTATTCTGCATCCTCTTTTGTGCCTTCCGGATTTGCACGGGCGTCGCTATTCTCCTCCCAGAAGATTATAAAAGATTAACCCGTCACTCAAATTTCTTACAAAAGCAGCTTCCCTCTCCTCCTCTTACATGGTGGTCAACGTATGCGATGTGACGTCAGTCCAACCTATGTATATAATTACATACAACGGAGTACATATTTTTAGAGGGTCTATGACATTCCAGTGTAGAACTTTTCGGTGTAGGACGTTTCGGTGCGGGCTTTTTGGTGCACGGACATTTTGGTGTACGGACCTTTCGGTGTACGCATTTTTCGATATACAGATTTTTCGAGGCATAGACTTTCCGCTGTACGGACTTTTCTGTGTATATCCTTTGAAACTCTGGTTATCCTTTGATTATCTCTGAACCTACGGCACATGTTATATTACTTCCACTGATTAAACTTACATCTTCATACATTCTTCATGTGGCCTCTCGTATGAATGACTTTCATCATTGCCTCTACAAAGAACAATTATTTTATCTTAATGTAGCAATAGCACAATCATAACGTAGCAATAGCGCAAAAACACGGACGGAGCAGAAGAAACACGCAAACAGGATCAAGGCTATATTTATTAATTGAATGACAAAAATATTAGCTTCGGCTCACTTGTCTCCGATCGCCATCAAATTGCATCAATGCCTGTCGCTAGAAAGACAGGTTGCATTTTTGCAAATTGTATAAATTATTTTGCCTTTCATAATGGCTACCTTGACAACTGTATTCAGATATCTATCCTCGCACCAAAATGACTTCGAATATAAAATTGCTGGCTCAGAAACACAATCAATATTATTTGTTGGTCTATAGTTTCTATACTTTCCATGATGTGGAAAATCAAAGAGATAAATTAAGTCAAATATGCAATCCCTATCAGTACATCTTGTCTCTTTCGTGCATCAAAATATATAAATATATATAAAAAAAACAAAAAAACTTGGGGACGCTTAATCTTCGCTTTTAATAGTGGAATGCGATACCGCTATCGGGCAACACTCGCAAAGCCTTCTCATATAAACCTGCGTTCGTTCCCAAGTCGTGCGTGTGTGCGTGGCCTAGTCGGTGGCATCACGTGTCTGTGTGACCTCACCTGTCACAGACACGTGACGCAACGTGTCCCACGTGAGCGTTGTGGGTTTAAAATTCCCGCGCGAGGTCATATGGCGTGACGTCACAGCCACGTGTGACGTCACACGCCTGACGTGACATGTCGCTGTGACGTCATGACCCCATCTACCAATTAGGATTTTCCGGCCCCACCGACGCCGGATTTTCTGCGTCACGAGCTCCCTGACGCTATCGCATTAAAATATACGAGGTATGCAATGTCTGCCGAAGGTTCAACTATTAATTTCGAAACATATCGTGTTTACTCCGTCATGTCAGTGTACCGAAGCGTCCGTGCACCGAAACGTCCGTGCATTGAAACGTCCGTGTACCGAAAAGTCCTACATTGAATTGTCTGGATCCCATTTTTAGATCGACCACCTTAATTAAAGCTTTACCGTTGGAAACTATGGTTAAATATTTCCAAGAATAGCCAGCTTTCCAGGAAACCCTACAGCAAATATATATTAGAATAAGAAAATAGACTTTTCCCCAAGCGTGGCATGGCGGCACCCAGTGGGCACGACGCCATTTATCTCCAAGTGTTTATGAACTTCATCGACTGACATTTTCTCAAGGAAAATATCCGAAATTCGTTTATACCATTTTAACCGGGAGGCACTCACTTGATCGAATGACGTTTTAGCGAACGCCCACGTTTCACCGAATGACACTTTAGCGAATAGTCGGACGCCGCGAAGCGGCGTTTTCGGGTGGGCCAAATGGGTTCACATTTTTGTAATGAGCCGCCGCAGACTGTCGCCGCCAAGCGGCGTAAAGCGCAGCGCGGCGGATGGGTTAACGCGCGCCCCCGTTATTCGCTAAAACGTCCATTCGCTCAAATGTCGCTGTTCGCTAAAATGTCATTCGCTCATGTGATATGGACCCATTTTAACCAGATCACGTCAACCTCGGAAACTCTGACTTTCGGTCTGGACCGTTAGCACTAAATTTGGGTCGAGACTGAATGTCTTGCAATGCGTAACTTATTTTCAAAATGAAAAAAAAAAAAAAATTCAAAATCTTTACGTGGTGAATGATGTTGATTGGGGCGAAGCTCTGGCGGTGCTGATGATACTGATTTTATTGTTAATAGATAGTGCTGATTTTTCTTTTTATTGCTCATAGATAGTGCTGATGGTGCTGATTTTTCTTTTTATTGCTCATAGGTAGTGCTAAGTTCCGGGTTGCGCTTCGACTTCATTATGACTGCTTATTACTTACTTATTATTACTATTACTTATCAACCCCAGCTCTCAAATTACTACCACATCTGAGAGCGGGTCTCCCCGCACAGGTTCGAATCCTGTCGACTGCGCAAACATTTTTTTCTTTTTTTAAGAAGACAGATGGGATGGCAATCGATGTGAGCACGGACGCCGGACGGACAAGGCTAGACCCTAAGGAGCTTTATCCCTAAAATTTGCCCCCCCCCCCCCCCCTTCCGTCAGATGCCCCGTAGATGCGAGTAGGCACGGCAGCAAACAATAATCAGCATTAGCACCAATTTCATGAACATGACAAAAATATGTGTCTACAAATACTCCTTTAGTAAATAAGCAATTACACTTATTTGGAATAAGAGGGGGCTAAGAAGAGAACGCAGTGATTCCTTTACCAGTGCCATAGATTCACAAAAGTATCATCATTATTCTTTGAAACATTGACAATTTTATTTATGCACATGCGTTTTACTTTGAGGTGGGTGAAAATTCACAAGGATAAAAGGACACGCTGAAGGGGAAAACAAGTTCTGAGCATTCAACATCATTCTCCATTTATCACGCAATCACTCACTGCAGAAAACGTGTAGGGATCCTGGGTTTACCGCAAAAACTGGCAGATGCGGTGAAAACCTCACCGAAATTTTTTCTTTTCTTAGCTTAGCGGATTGTGCGTACCGCGTCGCAATCTAACACAGTTAGAATTAATTACTTCATTAGAGAAAAAACGTTTGCTCTTTTTTGCTAATTTACTGACTTATATTTACTAATTCCTCAGAAATTAGTAATCACCTATTTTGTCTATTAATCACGCCGCAAGTATAAAATAAGAGCACGGGACATCCGTAAAAAGGATAATTTATAGACAGCTTGACGGTGCGCCGTCGGTAGCTGTCAGATGAAGGTTTGTTTTTTGCAAGCTATGAACAGCGTTGCGCGAACCGTTTCAGTCCCGAAGATTGTGTGGCGCCTGATAAATGACTATAGTAGGTTGCAAGTCAAGAAGGTAGCGGCAAATGCCCCTCAAAGGGAATCATATATCCCTCCGCCACCTCCGCATCCAATAGCGTTCCATCGTTTCCGTGACGTCGCGGCCAACGCGCAAGGAGGGTCTTGCCTTTCTGTACATATTTGCTTCATCTTTCGACTTTGACTTAGCATTGTGGAAGCCACGAGAGGGAGATTAAAGTTTTCCCCTCCGATGGAAACAAATACGACTTTCGGGGATTAGCTTCCCCCTTCGTTGGATACAAAGGCTGCTTGCAGGGGCTCGTTTCCCCCTCCAATGAATACAAAGGTCGCTTTCGTAAAAAGTGGGATCGGAGACAAGTTGGCATCACTCTGTAGCCAATATCTATCCATTGAAGCGGATCCAGTGAACTCTTCTTTCGACTGCGGAGGGATTTGAAACGGGCGCATCACGCTTGTGGGAGGAGCTTCTCCTACCCTCTTGACTTGTAACCGACTATAGGTGTAACTTCGGCTATGCTGTTTCTTTATTTTATTTTTTTTTACTCATAACATTTTTGTTGCGAGAACAGCTTTGTCATGTTGTGTTAATTGTCTTCACTTTGTCTTTGCCGTTTGAGCTGTTTTCATCATGTATAACGATTACCAACTCGCCCGATTCGCTACCTTAGTACAGAGGACTAGTAACAACGGTGACAGTGGCATTTACAGTTTTGCTTTTTAGGTTTTAGGCAGACATTATTAAGTTTTCAATCTTTTTCCTGTTTTATAACTTCATAGAAATTTCAGTTAGGCTTTCGTTGCCTACAGAGTAAACCACGGAAAACCCTGCAATGTATCCAATAAGCCTCACAAATAGTAAAAAAAAAAAGGACTACTTTTTTGCTTACACAACAGACACATTTTAATGGGAATAAATTGACGTATGCTACACATGGTCCAACAATCTCGCAAAAAAAAAAAAAAAAAATCGGCGAGTTTTTGTTTGCATTGCTCAAAAGCTGGTGAACTCTCCTCCGCATCCGCCAGTTTTTCGGTGAGCTTTTCTCCGGGATTCCAACCCCCATCCCTGCCCTTTTCGATTTTGATGGGCATCGTGCCGGCAAGCGGTAAAATCTCACTACTGCGTCATATGAGTACAAGTTCAAGACCCCAGCCTAGCGGTGGTACTGCACTGGCTAAATTTCTCATCTACAGCGAGGACACCAGACACCGACTGGGAACTTCCCGCTGTCCCAGTAAGCACACAACGCAATTTTATTTATCACACCAGCTGAAAATTCATGTCAACTTCTGAAGTAAACATAGCATAAAAAAGGGACCATATAACTATCTAGTTATGTAACATTTACAGGGTAGGATCACATAAAAAGCGTAACAGCAAATAGCTGAAACTTCGTCAACTAAAATGCTACCATCAGAGCATCTCGCACATTCCCAGGCAACAAAAAAAAAACCTGCAGCAGCCTCACTTTTGACATTCTAATGACACCATCCTGATAGATATACATGACAAGTTTTTTAAGCTTTACAGATAAAAAAAGAAGCCGTGAAAGCTACACTAATGCGGCTTTTCAGACGAGTTATACGGCCAGGGGGACATAATATAGGGGGCTAATAGTAACGATAACTTGGCTAACTAGCTAAATATGTTAACTTTTTAAATAGTGAAAATAAACATACCGTTTCAATTAGAAACTTGCTCAGTGTAATCGAAAACCAATCAGTTTTCAGAAAACTCTTGGACCATGTGGACTTGTGCCGCAGGAGCAAGGCTACCGATGCGATAATGTGCCCACACAGTTTTTCCATCTCTTATCATTGGCGTTTTTTTACCGCCAGCCTCGCGCCTGTTGCACAAGGGTTAACTTTAGAGCACTACTGCGCTTCCCACAAGCTCAAAGACTTCGTAAAATTCAGATGGAGTGGTTTCCGACGAAGCTCGGCAAATTTCTAATTAAAACATGTTTATTTTAACTGAGGTAATTAAAAAGATTTAGTTAATTATTCGACTTATCATGACAATTAGCCCTCTATATTTTTCTCTCGCCATGCAGCTCCCCTGCACAAACCACATTAGTAAAGTTTTCACAGATTTTTAAAAACAAACCTGTAAAGCCCCCCGCCCCCCCCCCCCCCCCTCCCACACCACACACACACACGCACACAAAACCAAAACACACTCTGTATAAGTGCCTGCAGGCATAGTGTCTGAGCCGAGTAAAAGAAACTATTGATGTGTTTCTTTACACAGCACTCCAATGTCAAAGTCCATTTCAATGAAAAACTACTGCATGGCCTAACTGAAGAAAAGAGTACCACTAAAAAAACTGTATGTATATATATCTATATCTATATCTATATATTAAGATACCTTACCAATAAGCAGTTTCAGCTGATTAGCAAAATAAAAGGTAACACACTGTCTCCTTTACTACCTGTCACAGCTCACTGGTCCCACAGCCAAATGCAGCAAATAAAAGACATCCCCTGCATAGCGTCGAAGCCACAGCAGGAACACAAGACTATGAAAAACTGTTAACATATTAATGGCGACCTATGATGGCCGGCCTAAGAGCCCTAGCATAGTTTTGAAAAACTTCTGCTGGATAGCACAACATTTGTGAAAGGGTCTATACTAAAGTATGTCAGAAGAATCAACATTTAAAAATTTATATTCTTTATAATGCTCCTTAGTGTTTGTAAAAAAACAACTTCACACACACATTTCAGGAGTAGGCCAAACTTGTTTTGGTAAAGAAAGAAGGCTGGACACAGAAAAAAGAAAACATTTTATGTACAATTCTGTAAAAGTTCATCCATGGTATAGAAAAACAAAGCTTTAGTTTTTCGAGCCAACAGAGAGGTTTGAATATATTATAGTTCATCAACAAGCACAACAAGAAGTGCTCTCCTTTAGGCTCCATATGTTCTTCAGCTGGCATGTCATGCCTCTTGCCGATTGTCCATAAAGCGGGAGATTACGAAGTGCAGTCCAACATTTTTAAAGCAGCTCCACAGCCTCTCTTATAGCGAGGACTGCAAAGGCTTCAGGTGCTCAAGGAAGATGTCCGAGGCAGGGACAGTGAAATGCTCAAGATATTTCTGTCTGTTCGTCTCCATTTCATCCAGGTAGTACCTAGGACAATCCATTTCGGTACTTGCTTATTTACCAGCAACAAGCATGCAACATGTGCAGGCAAATTGGTACAACAAAAGCTACTACAAGATTAAGAAACACAGCCAAACTACCCCAAAAGCCAAACTGAGTGAAAAAGGGAAGGTGGCCTAGCATTGAATGCATGACCCTTTAAAGCTCAGAAAAATTCCATCCCTCGTTCCTCACCCACTTATCCCTGCAACCAGTTTCCTTACACCACATCAGAATCCTCATGTTAAATGAAAAACAAAGTTTTTTATGTTATAGGAATCAGCTGTTTATCGACTCCTCTTCAAAGTGCCAAAAGAGGAGTCGTCATGGGTGTGGTGTCTTGGCCTCAGTGAAGGCGTCGTGATGCAGGCACTCAAAGCCGGATTGCAAACGATAACAAACTTGTTTATTCAACGAGCACATCACCGGCCCCGCTAGCCCTCTCGCCCTGGCTCCATCATCATTTTTGCCCCCGTCCTAGGCCTGACCTTACAGGTCCTATTGTCTTGAGGCTAGGTGGCGCTAGCTGTGCGCCAGCAAATAGTTCAACGACACTACATTTCCCCCTGGACTTTTAAAGGGAAAGTCACTTCAGTAGAGCACATAATCTCCCAGCCTTTTGGGACGATTCATGCGAGACTGACGTTCTGGCTAACGCCTACTTTCTGCTTGCAGCGTCGCCTGGGTGTCGTCAGTGTTGGTGTCCCCACTTGGTCCGACTTCTGCAGGGTCGATTTCAGGAGGGTCTTCGACACTGTTCTGGGGCAGCTCCATCAAGGTGTCGAAGGCATCCCAGTCTTCCACGTCTTGGGTCTGTTGATCCCGCCGTGGAATTCGGACTCGTGAGACAGCGGCGCTGGCAGCTTCAGTAGTACGGCGTCTCCTGGTTGAAGTCCATGCGGCACTGCATGACATTTTTCATCAGCATAGGTCTTCATTTGTTGTTTCTTCTGTTGGTCAGCTGTTTCAAGCTTTTCATGGTGGTACTTCTCCAAAGTCTGGGGAAGTTTTGTGCAAATTTTCCTTCCAAAGAGAAGTTCCGCTGGAATGTGACCTGTCGTCAAGTGTGGAGTTGCTCGGTAGTTCAGAAGGTACTCGTTGAGTTCCTCTTTCCAGTTGCTTCCTTCTACACCAGCGGTCTTTACCGTCTTCCTGACATTTTTTATGAACCTCTCGACTTCGCCATTTGCTTGTGGCCACAAAGGCGTTGTCCGATGATGGCAAATGCCATTGCGCTGCAGGAATGCTGCAAACTCCTTTCCAAAGAACGGAGGACCATTGTCAGTCTTCAGATCATAGGGCATTCCATGGACAGTAAACATGTCACCCAGCTTCGCTGTCACAGCTTTTGCGTTCAACGAAGAAAGGGTTGCTACGAGGGGAAACCGCGAGTACTCATCGACCACCACCAGTAGGTACTGGTTGCGTGGCAGGGGGCCAGCAAAATTTGCTGCAAGCGACTGCCAGGGTCCATCGGGCAGTGGCATCATCCTCAGTGGTGAGCATTTCTTCTCCACGACAGTGCTCTGGCATGCTTCGCAGTTCTTGACTGTAGCTTCCACCTTTGCGTCGATTCCTGGGAACCAGATTTTCTCCCTAAGGAGCTGTTTGGTCTTCACCATGCCTTGGTGTCCCCGGTGAGCCAGTCGTATAGCCTGTGCCTGGGCCTTGTCCGGGATCACAAGTCTGGTCCCTCTCAGCACGGCGTCATTCTCGGCGACCGTCAGTTCATCCTGAATCTGGGAAAAAGGCTTCAGCATATCGCTCTTCCATAGATGTTCAGACGTCTTGCGGTCACTTGCCTGGAGAGCGCGGATTAGCATCTCCATTTGAGTGTCTCCCTTGTAGGCTTTTTCAACGTCTTGAATGGTCAACGCTCCGGGTGCAGAGGACTCCAGAATGAAAGAAATGTATTCCTCCATTGCGACAGTCTCTCTCGTGGGGTTGTTCTTCTCCACTGCAGGCGGGTGCCTTGACAGGTAGTCAGCAGGGTTGTCGTTCCCCGAAATGTGTTGGACGTCAAAGGGATAGTGCTGCAGTCTGAGGCTGAGGCGTTCCAGTCTCGCTGAAAGTTTTGCGCTCGAGTTTTTGATTATGGACACTAGTGGTAGGTGGTCCGTTTTTACTGTTAACTTGCCTCCAGCCAGGTACATGCGGAAGTGTTCTATGGTGGACACGATGGCCAGCATTTCTTTGTCGATGTGTGGGTACCTTCTTTCTGTAGGTGTCAGAGCTCTGCTGTAGTAGGCCAAGATGCTGGGCGTTCTTCCTTCTGGCTCTTCTTGAATGAGCATACCAGCGATTCCTTCAGGTCCTGCATCAGTGATAACGTAGGTCTTCTTTCTTTCATCAAAGTATGCCAGAGTGGGTGCACTTGACAGCTCCTGTCTCACGCTCTTTAGGGCCTCTTTGTGCCGCTTCGTCCAGCAAAACTCTGTGTCAGCATGTGTCAGATTCCTCAACGGTTCAACCATCTGAGCGAGACGAGGAATGAACCTGAGGCAGTAGTTCACCATTCCGAAAAGGCTTCCGACTTCTGTTGCATTTCTGGGGGGCGACATCTTCGCCACTGCTTCTACCTTTTCGGAATCCACACTGACTCCACTTGCGGAGAACACATGACCGAGGAACTTCAGGCTCTTGGTTCCTAAAACGCACTTCTCGGCGTTGACGGTGAGCTCAGCATCTTCCAGGTGTTTCAGCACAAGGCGCAGACGACGATCGTGTTCTTCTAGCGTCCGTCCTGATACCAGGATGTCGTCGCTGACGATGATACCGTCCTCGTCGGGAAGCACTTGTCGTATTGCGTCCTGGAAGATTTCGGCTGCAGCATTGACCCCAAAAAGAAGCCTCTTGTACCTTCTCAGGCCACAGTGGGTGGAAAAAGTTGTGATTACTCGTGAGGTCTCATCCAGCTCAAGCTGGTGATACCCCTCATTCAAGTCCAGCTTTGAGAAGTAAGCTGCACCATTTAGGATGCTGATGACGTCCTCCACAGTAGGCATGATGTGCCGCCCTCGGGCAATGGCCTTGTTTGCTTCTCTCATGTCCACACACATTCGCACTGCTTGTTTGTCATAGCGTTTTGGGACGATGACAATCGGCGAGACCCACGGTGTTGGTCCCTTCACCCGTTCAATGATGTCGAGGTCTTCTAGTCGTGCTAGTTCAGCTTCCAATGCCTTTCTCATCTGGAATGGGATCCGACGATGTTGTCGGGCCACCGGCTTTACTTCTTTCGAAATCTTCAACTTCACTTGGAAGTCTTTCAGTTGACCGAGTTTCCCAAACAGTTTCGGAAATTCTTTTCTGGCGTCGACGGTGGTCTTTTCAGCGACCGTCTGGATTATTTTGATGAGCTTCAGGTCTGTTGCCGTCTTGTAGCTCATCAGTGAGGCCTGTTGTCCTTTCACAATGAAGACTGGCGCTTCAACGCTTCATTCTTGAGTACGGAACGTTGCGATGAACATCCCAACGACTGGGATCTCTTGCTTGACGCCATAAGGAATTAGTTTCGTCTTGGTCTCTTTCAACTTCACGCGAAGGTGCTTGTGCCAAGTTTGATCTCCCATGACGTTGACTCCCGCACCCGAGTCCACAAACAGTTCCAGAGGGATCCCGTTGAGCTCCACTGTCACGACCGGAAGTTCGTTCCTAGGGCTCCGAATGTGGTAGATGGACTCGTCGGAACTTTTATCCTGTGACGTGCTTCTGGGTGTGGTTGACGAGGCTAGGGAGCGTACGGATTCTTTGGACGCTGCACTACCTCTGCACATCTTGGCAAAGTGATTTCTTTTCTGGCACTTGTGGCACTTGGCTCCCCAGGCTGGGCAGCTTGTCTTCCCACCCTTGTGCGGCCAAACTTCACCACAGCACGAACACTTGTCCGCTTTCTTGCTATTGGACAAATTCTTCGATGCAGTGCTGCTGCATCTTGCTTTCTTGGTGGACAGCTTCTGGACCGTCACTGCTGTCGTGGGGCATTCTATGCTGGCAGCTTGGCGCTCAGCGTTCTCGATGCTACGGTTGATGCTCATGAGCTTGTCCAGCGTGATGTCGGCCTTAGGAGAGCACTACGACGCAGCTTGGCAGACGTGGTCCCTTCAATAATTTGTGAGACGAGCTCTTGCTCGACGTTCGCGAAATCGCACGTCGCGGCCAGTCTTCACAGCTTCAACTGAAACTGGTCTAACATTTCTTCCGAGTCTTGCCGCGCTTGACGAAAAACGTGGCGCTCGTATACCGCATTCTTTTTGGGAGCGAAATGCTCCGTCGGACGAGCGACTGCCGTTTCATAGTCCGCACCCGTGTCAGGTAGCGTGGTGAAGGTATCGTATACCGCATTACCGGCGTAATGAAGCAGCATGGCGCGCTTGCGGGTGGCATCTTTCACGTTCGCAGCCAGTAGAAAGTTCTCAAAATGCGTGTGCCATTTTGTCCACCTCTGCGCGAGTGACGACGCGTTTGAATGCGGGTCGAACGGTGACAGGGCGGGTAGGAGTGTGTCCATTGCGCTTACTTGACGTTGCCGACGTTTCCCACGTGGAGTGGGTCTTCTGCCTCTGTGTTGGCTTGCTTGCTTCGGCGAAGCGCTGCGGACTTCTGAAGGCCTTGCGTAGGGCTCAAATAGACAAAACCCTTGTCGCCAGATTTTTGTGGTGTCTTGGCCTCGGTGGAGGTGTCGTGATGCAGGTACTCAAAGCCGGATTGCAAACGATAACAAACTTGTTTATTCAACGAGCGCATCACCGGCCCCGCTAGCCCCCTCGCCCTGGCTCCATCATCTTTTTTGCCCCCGTCCTAGGCCCGGCCTTACAGGTCCTATTGTCTTGAGGCTAGGTGGCGCTAGCTGTGCGCCAGAAAATAGTCCGACGACACTACAATGGGCAAAACACTCAGTGCCTATCCCGTCACGCAAATTGGCTGAAATCGGACAACACAATTTTTAGGGGTGAGCTATCATTCAATATCTTTTTTTCTTCAAAAACAAGAGGAGTGGACATGCAGTATATCAGTGCAAAATAAACACAGAGCAGCTCCAAAGGAAATAAATGTTGAGGGCAAATGCCACCTTTTGGGAAAAACAATTTATGAGAAAATAATCAATCTCTCTTCATGTAAAGAATGCCATCATTTAATTTCTTCATGTGGCAGGCTTCCCACATTGTCGCATACCATATTTTCCGGTGTATAAGATGCATTGCTGTATAAGACGCACCCCCCACTTTTCGCAAAGTTTTAAGTAAAAATTAGTATATAAGACGCACCTGTGCATAAGACGCACCTATATTCACGCACTTGCCGCGAAGAAACTTCATAACGTGAGGTTGCACAAATACCTTGCGGCTTCCGAGACTTGAATATTCGCAAAGCGACATGTTTTCTTTTTTTCTTTTCGTTTCCTTGACTTTCTTTTTTGTTTTGTTTTTTGTTATATAACTTTAGTTTTGGGAGGTTGACTTGCATTTCTGATGCATCATTTGCATTGAGCTGTCATAATAGTTAAAAGAAGACTAATCAGCATCAACAGAAGTTCCTTCCAAGTTAGCCAGAAAAAAAAAAAAAAAAAAAAAATGACGCACCATTGAAAAGTTTGAAAAAAAAGTGTTACACTTTTTGAAAATCACTGGAAAATACGGTACTTCAAATTAGTGCTTCGCCGGTAATATCTAGCAGACCACAGCATCTGAGCGAAGATGAGTATCAGGAAAATTGCACTTATTGCATTTTAGTGCTTCCTTGGTGAAAGATTTGCTGAGAAAAACTATCATATTTTTTTTAATAATTTCTGGTGGTAGGATTAGAGTTGTGTCTAAGAACAGCTTGTAATTTGTTTCCAGCACAGGATTCATAACAGCCTTACCTGTAGTTGACCATGATGGAACATGATGCTGAAAGTCCCCTTGGAGAGATGTCTCCAAGCCAGTTGAGTCTCCAAATTACGGCACCATTCTTTAGATGGAAATTTGCTGCCACAAGCATAAACAAACTGATATTACACCTCTTCTAGAATACACCATGCTCCTGTATGCAATCATGAAAATACCCTAGACAGCAGCCCACCTTGCAGCAAAAGCATGCTGCTTTCCTAACGAATCAGCTCAATAAGTGTGACATCCAGCATGTCCAGAGAGCTCACCAACAACTGTTCTCGCAACTCTTTGCAAGGCCTATCATGCTTTTGTGCACAATGTTGTAGGCCTTTGGGACAGCAGTACGTCTTGCAGCAAAAGTATGCTGGTTTCCTAGAAATTTTTCTTCATAAGTATGTTTTTCAATAGGCCAAGAGAGGAAAACTTGCCAACAACTGGTGTTGCCTCTTTTGCAAGATACACCATGCTTTTGAACACAACCCACCAACAACTGCTACTGCATCTTTTGCAAGATACAGCAGGTGTCTAGCAAATTATTATTTTGAAATTCCCTGACTTTTCCAGGTTTTCCCTGACAATTTCAGGCGAAATTCCCCGACCACGGTAGAGGCGGTTTATTATATAAGACCATTATAACACAAGGCGTTGAGCATTGAGCACTGTGAGGATCATTTTGTATGTGCTTAATCCAACTTGCCTATTCCGAAATATTCGGGTTCGTCTAGTCCGAATTAAACGAGCACTTTCTTGCCGCCGACATCGTCAGTGAAGAGGTCACTTCCGAAAACACAATGTAAACATGACGCTCAACCACACACGTCTGAATGGCAACACGGCTGCCAGATGCACACTTTCGGATACTTTCGGCTTAAGGCTTGCATTGGATTGGGGTCTGCGGCTTTCCCATTTGTTACTAAATCTAGTAGCTCTAACTGGATCTAGCCTAGTGTCGTGCTCTCAATCCAATCCAATCCAATTGCTTGGACTGGATTTGTTGGCTGTTCTCTTTGCATAGGGTAGCACACTCTACATCGCATGAGCAGAGCACACACACCGCGCTAAGGAGAATGTATTGCCTATTTTTCTGCCCCCAAGTCTTCAAGTCTTTGCTTAGGGCACTCGAGGGCGTTTCCGGCTCATTGTCACTGACTGGGCTCGCTTTTTGACAAAATCCCTGACAATTCCCTGATTTTTCCCGGGAATTAAAATTTCCTTGACGATTCCCGGTTTTCCCGGTCGCTAGGCACCCTGATACTGCAGTATGGTTGTGTACATAATGATGTAAACTTTTGGGACAGATCATGTTGGCTCCCAACCAAATTCCCTTATCAAGTAGTATGTTTCCCAGTAGGCCAAGGGAGAATTTGCCAACAACTAGAATTGCATCTTTTTAAAGATACACCACGGTTTGGTACACAGCTCGCCAACAACTGTTACTGCACTTTTTGCAAGATACTACACAGTGCTTTTGTACATAATGTTATAAAGCTTTGGTTTCCTACCATAGGCCAATGGAGGAGAATTTGCCAGCAACTGTTACTGCACCTTGCAAGATACCGCATCATGCTTTTGTACATAATGTTGTAAACCTTTAGGACAGCAGACCATCTTGCAGCAAAAGCGTGCTGCTTTACTACCAAGACACACTAACCCCGGAGCGAGGGGACAAATAAAAAACGGACAGACACGAAATTCCAAATCTACTACTACCAAACAAGCTCAATAGATGTGACATCTGGGGGAGTCAAGAAAGCCAGACTCACCAACGCCGTTGAGCGCATAGCCGCGCCTCTTCTCGTGGTAGAGGTAGAAGGCACACAGGCGCATGAGAGGTGCTTCCAACCGCTGCACCAGCTCTGGTACCTGGTACCAGCCATTGTTCCTGAGCAGCCTCAGGAGAGCCTCAAGCGGTTCCCTGTCTTCCCGGTATGGTGCCACAATCTCCTCAAGCTCACGCTGATTTAGGAGCTTCCTACTTTCTGGCTGACCTGCGTGATCGAGAGACAGCTTTTGATCAGACACACACACTGACACCCTTAGTATAGCAAAAGTTTTGTATGGTCTCTACTTTGCACAGTGATCTATGAAAGTGTGTCCTGTTATGTCTGTGCTCACGGTGCCAGATCCCACGAGGCATGCAGCGCCCTATCACTAGGGTTTCGTGTTCTCGGATAAATCCACAAAACTTAGAGAAACATTCACCATAAAATTTTGGTCAATTTGGATTTAATCGATAAAGTCAGAATTTTTATGTGCCCCTACCCCCTCGCCCCAAGGAAAAAAACCTTTGATCAGTGCACAGGGCGAATGGTCCAGGGAAAATGTCGCCACTGTTTTCTTTCAAATCTCGGACCAGACTCAAAAAAAGTCTTACCACTTATCTCGTCAAGGCTCATTCAGGACAACAGGTCATTTTACTTTCGGGCCATGACAAAAGCCAGTGTATTGGTGTCCAGTTTAGGCTATACTATTTGTGCTTTAGAGAAAGGATAGATTATGCTTTTGTAACAATAAAAGCTATGGACCATGAAGATTGCATAAAATGGGGAAGAGGGGCAGTTAAAACTTCTCTATAACATCTTGTGCCACTCCACCTCGCGCAGCCGTGGGGTAGGTTGATGGAATAGGATGGGATGAATACGAGCTTCTCAGCGACTACGTCCATGATTTACGGTAACGAAAGAGGGACATGGAAGACAAACAGAGGCTTTCAACTTGCAACAGGCAATATCGCTATCATCACCTCGTCGCCCTGACCCATTTACCAGAGGGAGTTGTGGGCTCTTCTCATCGCCCTCCTCCTGGCTCCCCCCAGGACACTTGTCTACTGTGACAACAGTGCAGTAGTACACACTGGAATGCACGGCCAAGGTCGCACCTTTACAGCTCAAGAGGCACTCGCTTGTAACCTCCTAACAAATAAAGGCAGCTGGGTGAAATGGCTTCCAACAGACGAGAACCCTGCCGTCGGCCCCTCTCGCATCCACCTCGCATCAACCGTGAGAGCGAGGGGGGTTGCCGCCACAGAGCCTGTACCTATATAAGGGACGGTCCCCTGGTAGAGTGGGTAGTTGCAGAATGGATGCTACTACCACCAGGCCAAGGCCTGGTGGTGGTGGCGTCCGTTCAGCGACTGTCACCATCCTGTCGCCGTCCTCCCTAATCGTCCTGTTTCCCCCTGCAAGACGAGTCCTCCTGATGAGTTATTTATTCATAAATTGCATAAGCTTAAGCTTACATTAGTGCACAGTTCAAACCTACAATAAAACACAAAATGTAAAGCAGTATTGCAGGGTTCCAGGCTGCAAATAGAAACTAGCTAAAAGTAACCAAATGCGTGATTTTTTCCTATGGCCTCACAACAGTCATTCACAAAAACACGCTTTACTTGTGGCTGTCGAGCAGCACTCAGCTGCTAAATAGAGTAGGTTTCTGCATTTTTGATTATATATATTCACAACTGTACAACAGACAATAAATGAAAGAGTTGTAGTGCAACGAGTAAATGATATGCCCAACATTTTGAAGTGAAGTAAATAAAACGGAAAACTTTGAATGGACTGGTATGACTTCCAATCTGCTATAACATTGGAACTACATTATGTATAAAAGTGGAGGAAAAATGGCCCATGTAGTACTACTTCCCAACACTGTATGTTTTCCCCTTAAAAATATTTTTAGGGCCACATTAAGGTATAAATTGCATGCAAGCGATTTGGTGAGAGACAAGACAAGCGACGGCAAGCTGCTTTACGCTTGTCGCTGTCGCTCGTATCATCGCTCGCTAAATCGCTTACATGCAGTTCAGCCTTAACTCCTTTTGTACCAAGCCCATTGGTCATCAATCACCTGTGTTCTACCGCTTTCACGCACTGCTGAAATTTGAATTTGGCACGCAGGAACATGTTGCGCCATCTCATGGATAGCCGAAGAACTACAGCTTCGGTTTCAATCTCGTTTTCCACTTTCTCCCGAGCTGGTGAGCTATTGGAGATAAATTTGCATGACAGTGGTACATGTCACACATGCCGTCCCCCTGACATTGGGGACAGCTACAAAAGTAGCCTCAATCGCACAATTTAACTGCTTTTGTGCTTGCTTTTTGGATGACAGTGGCAGTGAGGGATGTGAATGACGTTAATTCATTTGATATGAGCTCTTACAGCGACGTTGTACCTCCGAGGCACAGATTATCTACAGGTGTTCGTTGGATAGCGTCATTCTAGCTTTCTAGATTGTCCTGAGCTGAGGCATGCATTTTATGTGTGCTGCAAACCCTAAAAACGCCAGCAGAGAGGGAGCAGTGCAATGCCATACCAAGCTTGTGTGCAAAAACAAACATATTTCTGGAGGATATGCACCTCCACATGAAGTTTACTTGAAAAGTTTCATGGCCAAGGACTAGGTAACTGCAGTACCTCCTGAAAATTACTTATATGGGATCGACGTGCTTTCCTGATCCCTTAGGTAAAAAGAAAGAGCACTTGTCCCTAAAGGAAATGACAAATCTGCCGAAGGTATTGTCAGCGCATCTTCATGACTACTTATTCGAGCCACCTGGTCCATATACAGAGAACGACTTAAAACCTACAATTTCTTAAAAGCGTTCAACTACTTTGTGAACTGCAAGGCATCAGCAATCGGCACCTACCTCCCCCAGGCGCTGAAGATATGTGCCGAGCTTCCCCGCAGGGGTTGCCGAGCTGGGTCTTACATTTAGCAGACAATCTTACGAAAGATTTTGCATTCAGCACGACGCAAGCCTTTCTAATGCCCAATTTTCTAATGTGCTGAGCCTTGGTATTCAAGGTTTCTTTCCCGGATCATTGTGTCAGCTTGCATCCTGTGGCGGTTCCTCTGATCTCCCTTCACCGATGGCTGGGATAACGGCCGCGGGTCGGAACGCTCGGCTTCCGGGTGATGACTATGCTTGGGGGGGGAGGAAGTAGACATGTGTTTCCAACTTCAAGAATGGGGGGACTCATCCCGTATATGCAACAGAAATTGGATGTGTCGCAAGGTCTTCCTTTGCTCGTTCTGCACTGCACTCTCGGGACTGTGTGGACAGGGTGAGCCTTTCATCTGACCTTGTCGGCTCAGGGGTTTCGGGACAGTGTGTCTTTGGCGTTCTAGTAAACACCACTGGACTCAGTTCAATTGTGGTTTGTGCTCCTCCTTTTTAGAAAAGCGTTTAGAAAAGCGATCAGTTGTGCTACTGACATTCGGACTTTTCCGTAGCGGTGTTTTTGAGAGAAAGCTGCATGGTGTGGGAATAGGCTTGGCGTCTCCCAATCAAAGACCGCTGCTGAACCTTTCGGTTACTACCACCTGTGACCCGGCAACCTTGCTGATGCTTCCCCGATCTTGGCTCTCCGGAACCTTGTGCCTGCCAGGTAAGGACTTTTTCTTACCGTGCCAGTGGAGGGGGCATTTTGTATGGGGACATAGTAGTTCATTAGGAGAGTTTTAATAAATGCTCTTGGACTCTGTCCTTACTCTGGCATCTCCGTCTTCTCTTCCGCTATATTTAAGAGAGTGAGACAAGGTAGCGATCATTGGCACCGATGGAGATAATTTATCTAACTGACCCACGGTAATGTAGCCATAAATGTCGTCTATACTGCCGTGGAGATGTGGGAATCACATTACTAGGTTTGACATCTCCTTTGACATCGCCGCTGCTGCTGAGAAAACCCTTTGGTTCCTCTTTGGTACCTTTTTTAGTACCTAAGAACGCCGCAATTTACATGTGCCGTTATGGCCCGGTTGGCCCCTATAGCTGTACAAAGATGGTAGATCAAAGTGAGCTGACGCCACATCCTCGTGCTTGTTACACTGCACAATCTGCTTAGCTGCAATCACCGAAGCTCAGCGACGTCAGTGGTGTCCCACTTTTTGAGATAACCGAAAGAACTTCACTTGTGACATTTTGTTTAAACCGGTGCACATTGACAACTTAAAAGCATGGCACGGGGGCATTTCTAAAGCATAGCTCTCATACAGTTGCTTGCTGGTGAACCAAGAGTTGTTCCACGTCCACCCAAACACAAGGAAAACATAGAAGACTGGAAGTACCCCTCTCCCCGCCTTTGTGGCCGAGAGTGGCGCGAGCACCCAATATATTTAGGATTTCTAGAAATCATAGTATGATTAATTATATCTGCAAATGTTTTAAATTTCTGTTCTCATTTTTGCACAAATTCCAAGTTTGGCATATAAATTTGACAACTTTTTCAGGCATTAGTGTAAACCATTTTTTCTTCTAAAGAACAGCTTATTGGCTGCTTTTTGATGCATCATAATTAGCCAAATGCCGAGTAGGTTTTAAAATAAAAAAAATGTTTTTTCGATCTCTTAAATATCAGTACTTTTGCCTGTGGTACAGAAAGAGTTGAAGAAGGCAAAGATTTTAGCCATATATTTTGGTCACGGCTCATTTTGAGTATAGTGATGTGCTTCTATTTGGTTTTATTTTGGAATGTTTCACCGAAAAAGGAGCACGATTCGGAATCGCTTTGCACCTTAAATGAGTCTTACTACATAAATACTGCAATAAATCTTTTTTTGTACACATTCTAAGTACACATTCTGAAATATGCTATTATTCTGGGCATGTAAAAAAAAAAAATTTTGGGGGGGGGAGGAGTTTAGTCTTTTTATGAGTGGTTCCAAAACACACTTTTATCTCGGGTTAAAGTGCCAAATATCAGAATCACCCCAAACTCTAAACGTTTCTCACAACTGAAATATTGCACTAAAAAAAATTTTTGTTTCGAGGAAAGTTCATTTTGTAACATAACGTGTCCCATCCAGGAACTAAACAAAAGAATTCTTTTGGGGAGTTTTGTGTTTTTTTAAGTTTTCGATTGGTTTTTTCCTTGCTGTGCCACTGCAGTGTTCAGAACTGCAAAGATTTTCTTGTAAAGTGGATAATCCCGTGCACAAGTTCACTGGGGAAAATGCACACCTCCAGTAGCAAACCTGCACGCACACCAATGACAGTGATGGTGAGTCTGTCGGAACGAGCTTCTCCGATGACTTGAACATAAGAAAATAATCAAACTTGCTACACAGCCACTCAATTTGAAATACTGTCGCGATTGTGCCACCATCCTCGACAAAGCGTGCATAAACATAAAGAATGGCGTCCTCTGCGGCGGCCGTCGCAGGTTCGACACCGGCCGTACATAGCTCGCAGGATCTTTTTTCGTTCGGAGCTTCTTGTAGTTGGCGAGAAGCGGCTCCAATTTAGCAGAAAGCGCTTGCACGAAAGCCTCGACCGCTTTCTGCAGCCGCGATAAAAATGTGCAAGTGACGGCCCGTCTTATCTTTTTTTTGTGTCTGTGATACTTTTATGGAGTCCAAATATAAGGAAGGAGCGGATATAGCGAAGTGATTTCCGATTCCTGTTGACTTCGTTACAAGCGGTCTCGACAGTAACTGAAAGTGTGATTGCAGTACATGATGACAATGACCCACCTTGGGCTCCCGCTTTATGAGAAATTATTCGATCGCTCAATGTCGTCTGCAGCTTCGCAGAGGGCAATGGTGATGATTTTGAAAGATTGCGCTGCACTTAATACATAGCTTTATTCGCCATGTAAGCATGATGGGAGCCGAGGAAAAAGGGCAATCCAAGCAGCTTGACTGGTTGACCTATTCCTAAGATGTGACTTAGGATGCTGCTAGCTAGCCCCACATTGATGATTACTTAATGTGTCTCATTTTGAATAAAGTGTTGCATTTAAACATGTGCAATTTGGGTTTGCATACAATGTTTGCATGCTCAGAGCACCATTTTTGTCATTTTTATCGGGTGATTCAAAAATCTACTTACCGTAAAATCCCCTAAGGGCACCTTCCCGGAGAGATTGCTTATCCCATTTTTGTGGCTAAATGTCCATAACATAAAAATTCTAAAACATCGCCCACATCGCGCACCAACTGCACGATCTGCGGTGACTGTACGTGTGACAAGCAAGTTTGCAGCGGGTTCCCAAATCTTTGTCCGTGATCTGCATGCACAATATCGGTTCCCGTGACATGCAGGTTTGTAGCAAAATCCTGCGTCTTTTGTTTACGATCTGCAAGAGCAATAGAGGTTCCCGTGCCATGCAAGCTTGTAGCCAGTTTCCACCTGTTTATTGTACCATGAAACACGAATCTGCTGCATCCACAGTCTGTGGTATCCTTTCCCATGACGCAGTAGTTTGTAGCAAATTCCCGCTTGTTTATCATGTTGTGAAACACAAATTTGCAGTGTCTGTGATCTGGGATATCAGTTCCCGTGTCAAGTGATTTGTGGCGGATGCCCCTTGCGTTAATCATTAATTCTTTTCATGAAGTTTTGCTGTTTCATCCCTAAAGATGTTTTTCGCCATTTATTTCTTAATTTTTGGTGGGCACCCTTACAGGGTTTTACGGTACTAATTCCAATCATTTTTGTCGTCCGATCGACTTTGAATTATTGAGGTTCAATTGAATACTTTTTGATTTAAACAGGACCCATCTCATATGTGGCTTGCACAGCAGTGTGAGCCTTGTATTCTGCCTTGACACAGGAGAAAGCCCCAACCTTTGATGATCTTGTGGACTTCCGAAACAAGCCAGTTCTTGAAGCCGGGGATGGGCGAGAGGGAAGAGAAATCCTGGATGTGGGGAAACTCTGCCTTGACTTCCTTCACGACCCCCTTGATCAGGTACTTGCCCAGCTCTATGCCCTGCAGACCTGCACACAGGCAAGTAGTACCACAAAGAATTACATACAGCTGCAAACAACAATATGGCCTCGTATTCAATGTCACTTCAAGAAAAATCTGTGAAAAGTTTTTCACAGATTACATATCCTGCACAAAATACTAGGGGCGTCCCAAAAGTTCTAAGCCTGACCCAGAAGGAGGTGGCAGAGGTCAATGAACTTGTGTTACTTTTTGACACAGTCATCTTTGAGATCCACATCCTTCACCCAACGATGACCCAATGCCTAAATCCCTTTGGAAAAAAAAAAATTTTGGTCCTCCGAAAAGCAGGTTATTGCATCAAGGACGTCATCATTACTGAAAAAATTTTAGCTTTTCCACTCTGGTGAAGAAGGAACACCAGCGAAGCTGAACTATGGTGGGAATGAAGTATAATGGCCGTCCGCAAGTCGGCAAGCCAGAGTGGAAAGGCTGGAAGGTTGCCGCGATCCATAAATGACGGCGGCAAGCAGACAACCGGCAAACACAACACTCTGGACAGCTACCGCCATCTATGAGCGACGGCGGCAACCAGAGTGTTGTGTCAACGTCTCTGTGCGGACGGACACGATCCTGGGGAGCCTAGCGCTTAACAGCTCCACAGTAAAAAGCAAACATCAGAAAGTCCCTTTTTCAGCTGAGTGAAGAAGATGGAGGTCTGATGAAACGAAATCTGGGGAGTACGGTGGATGGTTGACCACAAAAAAGCCGCAGGAGTGGATGGCAGCCATCACCACAGCAGTGCAGTGTGGGGACACAATGTCCCGATGGAACAGCAATTTCTCCAGAGAATACAGCAACATTTGGCTTTGATCACATCCTGCAGGCAATGAATCAGGGTTGTGTAGTAATTCCCGGGATGCTTTGCCCTTTCTGAAGGTAATCGCTGAGCAGTATGCCTTCGGAGTCCCAGAAAACAATGACCATCATCTTGACTGCTCATAGAACAGACCAAGCTATTTCAGCAGTGGAGAGGAGGGGTTTTTCCATTGTTTAGACTGGGTTTTGCTGTCGGGTTGAAAGTGGTGGAGCCAGGTTTCGCCCACAGTCACAAATCGGGCGCGGAAGCCTGCAGCATCTGACCCGAGCAGCTCGAGATTGTCCCTGGATGAGGTGTAGCAGGTGCGTTTTTGGTCACACGAGAGCAACCTTGGAACCCGTCTGGCGAAGACCTTGTGCATGTCAAGACGTTGGGTCAAGACGCAGAGAACTCTGGTTTTGGAGATGCTCGTGACCTGTGCAATGGTTTGAATTTTTACTTAGCGATGCCATTTCTTCATCGTGCACACGGTCAATTTTTTCTTGCGCCGTCACTCCCGCAGGTCCACCAAGACAGGGGTTATCTTCGAGCCTCTCCCATCCTCGATTGAGTTTTGCGGCCCGCTTCTTCACTGTGCTCTAGGATGGAGCATCCCGTGCCTAAGTCGCCACCATGCCTTATGGATGCCTGTCAGATTTAGGCCTTTCTGAGACAAATATTAAATCACCGAAAATGTCTTCCCTTTCTTCGTTTTAGCTCGCATGCGCAGATTGCAACTTGTTGGTAGCCGCCACAGGAAAACCGAATTGTACGCATGCGCCATTTTTGGTGTCGCAAATCTTAAGAAGTGCCCATCTGCTATAACAAGGTTGTGTGTCTCTGCTCACATTCCTTCTGTGCCAGGCCGAGAACTTTTAGGACGCCCCTTGCAATTCCTACAAAGATTGGCTGTCAGAAAAAACAAAAACAGGTAGGCTGTGTGTACGACACGGCCGCAAGTTTTCGGCGTGACCACCTCTTTGTGCCAAGTCTAGGGAAATAAAACAGATATATTGAATGTAACAGATTTGTTTGAAAATCACAAAATTAATAGAATGAAACACAAGTACAGTATCCCTCATTATAACAAAGTCAACGGGACGGCAAAAATATTCGGTATAAGCGGTAATTTGACAAAAGCGATAGAGCCAAAAAAAACAGTGCCAGCAGCCTTGAAGGTGGACGGGAACACTGCGGAACACTCTGACCGTATATTTAATTAAACAAGCTTTGGTTATGAACACCTCGTGGCAGCTTTACCAAGTAAAAACATAATTAAATCTTAGAACTACTCCCGGCATTGCACGAACATAGTCACCGCTGCTGCACTCCACTTTATTTTAAAGCAGCCGTAGGATGTTTCGCGTCTCCACAGTCGTCGGCGTTTCCCTAGGTGCCTCTCCGATGTCACATTGTGTTTACCCTGGCCGCATGCAAGGTCTACAATCGCAGTATACGTGGCAGGAGCAACAACAGGCACGTCCGGATCAACAAGCACGAATGAATCAAAGTTATCTGATTCAAAACGGTGGCTTTGCCAACATGTTCTCACACACTCTCGTAGAGATTGTTGCAGCTATGAAAATCGTGTGCCGGCTTGGCAAGCATGCTTGCGAGAGAAAATCCAATGTGCGGAAAGTAGCTGGCGATCTTTCATCTTTGGGTCGCGGGCACGTTTTTTTCTGCATGAGAAACTTCTCGAACTTGTCCAATATGCCTTGCTTGTTTTGCAAAACGGTGGACAGTGTCGAACAGCCGATGCCAGAATGTCAAATTTTTTAACAATTTCGGACTCGGGCTGGCCACTCTTCTCAACCTCTCAGATTTAAGCGACTTTCGGTAAACACTCCCAACCTTCCATACGACGCACATGTGCGTAGTACGCCGCAAGCGCACCTGCGAAGGCCTGCGCGTCCCAGTTTGCCCTTTGCCTCGGTGGAGACAGGGTAGGGAACGCAAGAGTCTCTGTGCGCCTCCGTGTAGGTTTGCGTGCTTTCGGCACTTCGTAATAAGCGTGGTTGGCGCAGATACACTTAGAATGATCAGTTGAAAATGTGTGCAAGTGATTCCGTTATAATGAGGGATTACTGTACCAAATACATGCGAGGCGTGTCACAAGATGGTGAAGCCGGTTACGTCATGTCAGCGTTGGAAGTGCTATGTTGTTGGGTGCATATCTCTTGATTAGATGAAGATATCTCTACGATTCTTTCACCATCATGTTTGGATTGGTGAGGTCTATCAATGTTTGACATTTCAATGATGAGTACAGCTTAAGTTTCAACTTTTATGCGGAATTAGTAACCCAGTATTGTCACAAGTTTTATATTAGCCCCTGTTAAGAAGCAAATATCTGTTCAACTTTAAAATGATATCAGAAACAAATCAACTGATGACACGTCTGCTAGCAACGGCGAGTCAAACTGTACTGAGCGTGCACCCACCCTGCGTGGGAAAGGAGTGAATGGGCGTGTTTCAAATGAGTGAGGCATAGGGTCAAGGACAGTAGCTACATCACGATACGAGAACAATTGCTTTCTAGTTTATAGTCACAGAGCAGTAGGTGGTTATAGTGAGGTCTATTTTTGTTGCACTATGATTCCCTAGATACACCCCTTCAGGGCCCGTTTTCTCGAACGCGAACCGTGGGTTAAAGTTAACTATTGTCCCTAGAAGGGGGAATTCTAGGTCATGTGACTGGGAGAGCAGGGGCGCCGAGGGAGGAGCAGTACCTACAAGCAAAATGGCCGCAGCGTCGCTTAATGAGGGCTAATAGTTCTGCTTGGTTCTGCTGAACATTCGTTTCAATCCGGCTGTTATAATAATAATAATATTTATTTGCATACAAAAATCTGACCCTGAGTGGCATGCACGGCTGTGCAGAAAGGTTAAAACCCGTACGCGAGTGTGCCTGCCAACCTGCCACTCAGGATTTGAAAAAAAAAAAAACGAAAAAACACGCACACGGACTTATATACCAAATTTGTACACAGGGCCATAACCCAAAATGTTTTAAAAGAAAAATGAGGGTGAAATGTAGAGTGTAAGTTGACTCCCTCGTATACCTATGAGAACACACACACAAACACACACTACACTACACCACACACAACACTACACTACACCGCACCATCAACCTATTAGCACGTCAAGCAAAGCGGTAGTTCAGAAAGACTACTAAACTAACCGACGACAGCATTCCGGGATCCAAGACATATGACGGTACATAAGCCTTGCAGTGTTTTTATGGTGAGTAAAAAAATGTTTTGCGAACGAGTGTTGGTATATATTTATACTAACACGTTTAATTTGTTACACTATGCACGCCAACTCGTGAGCAGCGATTACTTTGCGGAGAAGGGGGGGTTATCCTCGATAAAGTCTTCGTTCCGAGTGAACAGCTGGGACATTGTACTGTTTTTTTGTTCGCAGTGCGCCGACAGTATGCCGACCACATGGAGGTTTCTACATATCCCCCATGGCCAGCAATTCAACGGTGACGAGAAGCTTAGCTTCTCGTCACCGGTGGATCGGTTGGGCAAACGGAAGAGAGGGCAAACAGTTGAGATCAGCAGGAATCGCAGAAACGTGCGTCGCAAGGAACAAAAACGAAACTACAGTACTACCGGCATTGCCTGACTGGAAGGAACACGGGAAAGTTATGCGTTGCTTATGGCGAAATATATTGAAGGAAATGTTTCTTACATTTTTGAATATTTGTCGACAAACTCTAGCATAGTAGCTAAAATTTCTTCGTACCATCGGAAGCAAATAAATTGGTCTTCAAGTACAACATTACTATATTTTGACTTAAAATACCATACTAGATCGATAACAACCAGCGGGAAAAGAGGATAAACAAAATAACTGGCTTGTTTCACCGATAGATGGCGCATCTTATTGCCCAATCAAAAATAATTATTGTTGTTCTATATCCAGCCGTTACAGTACCTAGGTACTTTTTCCTTCCTAGGCACCGTGGTCTACCAAAATGGATTTACCATCGCTTCGAGAAAACCGGCCCAGGTGGGACATTGTCACGTCAAAAAATGATGCTGAAGCATGTACTTTTTGCCAACAAAATATATATGTTTTGCCAAAAAAAAGCCTTTTTTTTATTTTTTTAGAGTCAACTTTCTGAGATGGAGACGACCGATGATGGTTATTTCTCAGAAATTGTCAAAAAAATACATAAAAGTTGTTTGGTCCCACTCAGCACATTGCAATGAGGTAGATTTTAGTGACCAGTGTGGCCACATTTATTACAGTGCCGGACAACAAGTTACATCAAAAGAAACCTTCGTACGAAAGACATAGCCCTCACCCTTTTTGGTCCCCGTTTCAAAGTCAAATCTCCCAAGCTCTTTCCCGCTGTTCAATTTGTAGACACGTGAGTGATCTCCCCTTCCTGTCTAGGTAGATAACACATGCCCACGCCTCAAGGTTGAAAGGTGATGATGAACTAACAGCAGCTTTGTTGTGCTTCCATGTTGGCTCCGACCCATCACTGCACACTTAGATGGCGGGCGTATGTGTAAAGGTGCACCCATCCAAAGAGCTTACATGCTCGAGTACAGATGCTGCATGGTGTGCTGAGTTCAAATGTTACGTAGGATGCATAGTACCGTGAGAACAACAGACTGCACTAGCTATAAAGAACACAATCTCTGCAAAGGTAAGCCAATACAAGGGGCCTCTAAGAAAATGCCCCCTCAACAGACGCTTTTATTTTCCAGACAGGAAAATGAACAACAGAACTACACAGAATAAATCTCAAACTTAACACTCACTATCATGGCAAATACAATGGTAATGCAGAATGTACTGTGCATTGCTTTGCAGTAATGGTGCACAAATGTACTTGGTATGAATTTGGTGCTTCGGCAGCACTAACATCTCCGTGCATAGTCCCTGAAAGAAAGTCCTGCCAAAGCTAGCGCTCCAGTGGGAGTGGAACGTAAAGTTTGCATCTCTCGCGGTTGCACAGCCCAGCTTTGGTCCTGCTATTTTACATCTTCCCATTCCCTTTAAAGCATGCCTTTGTTCTCCTTCCGCCTGCCTCATGCACACTCCCTTACTATATGTTCGCTGCCTTGTGACATTTTGAAAGCAAGCGTGTGCTGTTGGCGCAGTTGGTTCTGCATCGGAATCACAACTGGAGGAATCCTGGTTCATTCAGAGGACGACAACCAAACGTCGGTGAATCAATAAGCTACCAGGTGTTGGTTTTTAAAAAAACAAGAAACAAGCCGTGATATTCACACCACCCATAAGTAAACTATACATTCCACAAAGCTTCAACTCCACCCAAATGCAGTGCTAGCAGTAGAGTAAAAATTTCAAAAGGCCAAGAACTCTACATTATATAATTCAAGAATAAGAAGCGATTTTCCAAAAAATTTCCGACCAAAAATTGGTGTCTGTTTAGAATAACTAATGCTAACTCCCTATGTATTCATTAAAAATTAGAGAAAATCGCTTTTACGTTTTGAATCAGACAACACAGAGTTCTGGAACTTCCGCTTCTTATCTCTGAAATACCGAGCATGCGCCGATGTCACAATAAGTGCTCACCCCCCACTTTTGTCACATTTCAAAAATCGTCAAAGGACATATTCGGCACCCACTCTCCTACTTAAGTCAGTTCGAAAATATACGAGACACATCAAGTAGCCAATCACCTTGGGCGGCCGTCATCTTCGCGACCAATGAAGAGCACGGGCATGGTGTGGGTGAAACGGCTCTAGTGATGATGACTAGACGATGCATAATCAATCCATTTTTAATTTTTCTCAATTTGGATTTCTGGTCAAGTAACCAGGAAGCCAAACCAAGCATGGCAGAATGCACACTCAAGTTATGGCTGCAAGTGCAAAGTTGCGGAAGCAATAAAAAACGTAATCGTGCAGCGCGCACGGCCAACAAAATTGGAGTGAAGGAATTGCCCGGCCCTCGGACATGTTTTGTCCATCAGATATGCTGATGTCAACAAACATGCTCTGGCCTGCGGTCCGTTTTCGGACGGTGAGATTGTGAAAGTGGTTGGGATTAGCGATGGTAGCATCACTCTTTTTGTCGAGCGCTGCTGATGCTAAAGCTCCGTCGAGCATCTTAGGGCAATTTCTTGTCGGCGAAAGGAATGCCGAAGTTCTGTTTTCATGCACTGGTGTGCTAGGCTAGCAGAGCAAACAACGGTCATTCTGAGTTTTGCGGTCGAACCAAGCAAGGGACCACGTGACAGTGTGCTCCTGCATTTTCGATAATGGACCTAGCAAGCACCCATCTCCAGCTTTCCACACTTATCTCCCAATTTTGAGTGGGCACTTGCTTGGTATTTTACAGTGGTGCTACATTGGGGTGAAGTTCAAGCTTACAACGATGCATAGTTTATTTTCGTGGTGCAAATATAGAGTTTGCTCTTTTCAGTTGACACCCTATGCAACATGGGCGTTTCCTGGGGGGCTCACCTTTCTGAGTGGAAGAGATTGAGTAGAAAATAGCCGCCTTGATGACCTTGTCGTCTTCCCATTCGTCGGAAGCCTGAGACTCAGCCCGATCCGGCTTATAGCCCACAATTATCCTCTGCACCCCAAAAAGAAAAACATTGAGTGAGATATAGACACTTAAAGGGTTTATAAAACATTTTTTCATAGTACTTCACAAAGTGCTGCCTGGAGGTAATTCCAGATGTAATATATAATAATAATAATCTTAATAATAGTCTTTATTTTGGGGTGCCCAAAAATATGAAACATGTTTGTTTTTAGCTTAACCCGTGTTTACCCAATTCTAACAAGACCCTTTAATTTCATATCCGATTCTGATGCACAGGCATTTTTAGGTAGAGTTTTATAAGAAAAAAGGTGCGTATTAGAATCGGGTAAGTATGGTAGTAATTTCAATACTATCTGCATCTGCACACTTTACATTTGCCTCAAAACTGCATCCACAAGCATTACCTCCAGTTGTATCTGCATCCCAACCCTAATTCGTAATATTCTTTTAACGATTTGGACTAATTAGAGCATTCGGTACACCTGCATACATGCAAACTAAGTCCTTCCAACGTCATGCATGGTGTGCTTTTACCTTTCACGACACTGTACAAAAGCAGCAGTGCAAAGCGTAAAGACAATACTACTATGTATTGCCAGAAGGATCATATAAGGCAGGTCAATGTCTGAAGAAAAAGTAAATGTCTAGGGGTATGTAGTTCGAGAGGAGGTAAGAGGACCATCAGAAGAGTATGTTTTATGATCAGAACCATCTCCTAAGCAGGAGGAAAAGATCCACGGAGCTTTAAAGACTCACAACCGATTTTGACAAACTAATCAAACCACAAATAACATTTCCTTTTAGGGCTAGGAGGCAAGCCTCTGCTAGTTAACGAGATGATGGACATCTGCATCATGCATCAGGTAGCCATGGCCTAAAGAACTTCAGTCTTGAGTATCTGTAGCATCTGATATCATCATTTAATGTACAAACATCGAAGACCACATAGTACCTGAGTGCACATAAAATCATAACTGCATCCAGTTATGATTTCAGAAATAATAAATATTTCCAAAATTCATACTTAGCGAAATCCACGAAATTATGGGAGCGCAAAAGTAAAGTTGTTTACAGTACAACAAATGTTGAATTCTCTGAGCCTTCATTCTACGTTTTTCTCAAAGAAAAGAACACGGCACGACGGCCTAAAACATGTCGGAGAAGGAGACTGCGGCGAAGCATCAGCTTAGCGTTTCCGGCTAAGGTTGGCACGACAATATTCGACCCTCTTTAAAAGGAAACAAATGCTGATAATGAAGATGGTTCAGAAAGTGCCATGACCATGAAAGCTCTGCTGTGTGTCTCCGAGACACCTCGGTATACGTACTCACACAACTCCTTAATAGGCAAAAAGAAGAAAAATGGTTTACAATACATTTGAGTTGTTCTCAATTGTTAGTGACATATCTGCACTCTTGAACATACGCCATGCCACCAACACGTAGCTTGGCACATAAAAAAAAAAGAATTAGGAATACAGAACTAGCACCTTAATGCTGCTGGCCCAATAAAAAAGAAAAGATGAAGAAATATCTTCATTGACCCTTGAGCTGACAGTGCTCTGGGAGTTACGCACTCGCAGAACCAATCAACCACCCCCCTTTCATTGATGCCGCAAACGTTCTGCGAATCCGAGGTTCAAAGATCAGACCAGGGGTTGCGAAAGATTTGCAAAGTTTAGAAATGTCGAACTTATTACACAAGAAATTTGACAATTTTCAAACTTCCGAATTCTTGGTGCTGAAAAATATGATTTTTTCGAACTTCTAATCTTTTTGCACTATGAAATTCAACATTTTCAATCTTTCAAATTTATCACGCTAGGAAATTCGAGGATTTTCAAACTTTCGCAACTGTTAAGTTGAAAAGTTGGACAAACTTTAAACTCCTGAAAAGACATTAGACAAACTTCGAACCAAATGCACCCCCATCAATTCAGGGCTACAAATATAAATAATGCAAGATATCACCAAAGCATGAAGTGGTAAAAATTGCACTTAGCCTGATGGTGCCCCAAACAACTCGCTTTTAAACCACCAAATGATTGGTCAAACGTCTATTTTTGTCCAAACCGCTTCTGATCCTGTATTCAACAGTGTGTGAATGCAACGCCGATGCCCAACAACCTCGCTGTGACGTGCCACAGCTATCGCTCTGACTGCACTGTGGGTTAACACAGGACTGCTCAATCTTCTTTTTCGCCTTCTGCACAAAACTTTTCCCGTAGGTTGCCCCAAGGTAACCCGTGGCCCAACAGATCACTAGATCCCTAATCTGCAGGGTCAAACTTCAACCAAGGCGCTTCGCTGGGGAGTCTTTCATAGCCCCAGTTTCCTCGAGTAAACGGTTGGTTGGGAAAAGGCGTGCAGATGCGCTAAAGTGAACGCTGGATCCGCGCTTATTTCATCAGCATTAGTAGCCGGCTGCATTTTAGAGCGGTTAATATCTTCATTAATCGAAGAAGAAATGTTCCAGACAGTGGGAGTATAGTTAGCCCGATGACAACCGGTCGTGACCTGACCAGCTGTGTTTTGGGGGGCAATGTTTTTTTTCACCCCAAATCACCCCACCAAAAAAAAAAAACAAAAAAAACAACGCCCACAGCAAATAAAAGTTTTCAGGAAGCCTGGATGGCTTTATGTGCATGCATTGTCCTGTATATTTAGTTGCCTTATGCCAGTATTGTATGCAGGCGATGTTTGATCAGATTGCTACTAGTTTGCAAAGAAGTATGTTCACCTGACCGCCTCAGGGCTTTTTGATGAACCGTTCAACCAGTTCAACGCTTGTTTCATACATTACAACAAACAACGAGTAGTACAGGCAACGTTTTCAGTAAAAATATTTTTGCAATTTTTTTAGATGACTTTATAAAAACTTAGTGTGGAATTTGACCTCAGTTCGTGAAATTCATGTTCAAATTTCGCAGTTCGTAAAAACAAACTGCAGAATTTGATCTCAGTTCGCAAAAATCAGAGACTTCAAACTTTTAATTGAAAGTTCCAAACTTCTTAAACTTGCACCTAGAAAAAAATCAAAATCTTCGAATTCAAACTTTCAGAGACCTTGACATTTTTTAATTATTCTAGTTTGAACCTCGGCAGGGTTCTAGAGTTGCAAAGTTTTCAAATTCGAACCTTAGCGAGGTTAAAAATTTTCGAACCTTTTGAACTCAAACTTTAGAAGGTTTGCGACATCCCTGCTTTCATCTCCTGACCCTGCTCCCAGCACGCATGTATGGACGGAAGCATAATCACGTGGCTAAAGATAGAAATAGGACTGGTCTGACGAGCAAGTAGCTTCCGCCATACTGTCAGCTTAAGAATGAAACAAGCACGGTCCTTACCGAAAAGACACTCGAGAGCCCATCACAGAACCACCCGAATCTGAGTCAAATGATAGCAACAGTTCCTTTCGGTACTTATTTCCTGCCAGTCTGACTAATCCCTGTTGTTTAGGATGGGGGGTTATAAGCCGCTTAGACGCTTAGCATGCAGGAAAGGTGCAAAGAAAGAAGAAAATTGGAGGAGGAAACGAAGGAAGAGAGAGAAATCTTCTGTCAGGAAGAATGTATTTTTGCACGTCAGGCTTTAAGGAATGCTGGCCCCAGAACTACCACAGATAAAGCCAATTGCACCTTCAGAAGAAAACTTTTAAGGCATGTTTTTTCATTATATGCAGTCCAAATCCAAAACAAATATCAATTCATTTGTAAAAGCGTGTAAAGAACGGATATCAAAAAATGCTCATCTACAGCTGGGAGACTCGTCGCCCCTGTGAGGCAGACCAAGTTCTAGGCTGTATAAACACACACACAACCCAATTATTATTCAAAAATAAAAGATAAAGATGTTAATATAGGCATTTCCTCTTCTCCGGAATATTTGATGATCTAAAGATTGATCAATGTTGACGTAAACTAGATGTAAAAAAAAAACACTTCAAAAAATTAAATAAACTGGGCTGACGCAGGAAGAATTTTGGTGAACTTGACCATTCATTAAACTGAATTCCCAAACAAGCTAAGTTATACTCTTCTATGGGCACAGCCTTTTCAAGAACAGATATGTATCTGAATGTGCTGACCCCACAATTCTTCAGCTTCTCACAAAGGTCTCGCAAAACGTGAAAATCAAACAAGAAAAATTATATTTTGCGAGTAAGCAAGGATGTTGGTAAGAATTACCTCAAAAGAGACGCAAAAATGGAAAAGGAGGGCGTGCACAAATCACACACTCAAAGTTTCAGAGAAATGAGATTGCCACGTGCATGACTGAGTTGTCAGCCCACACGACTGCCATGCAGAGGAAGTGGTGACTTCGCTTTCCATTCTACTTTGCTGCCTTCGTGGAACATTCCAGCAGAATTCCTTATATGTTCTTGTCTAGAAAGTTCTCAACAGCTCGCTCTTACACCCCTGCTGCAGTGTCTATGGCGTCTTTCATGGTTTAGTGCACACTCTGTTTCATTAAATGTTTATTTTCAGTCTTACATTCCCCTTCTCTTTCTATTCATGTCCAGAGAAGTGACGGAGACGGCAAGTCACCTGGATGGAGGCCGAGATGGAGTTGGTGAGCGCCGTGTGAAGCACCACGATGGGTTCACCTGGCATGCAGCTGTGGGTGATGACATAGCAGCGCCGGTACGGACCCACCCGGCGCTTCAGATCCGTCCAGTTGCGGACGGGGTGCACAGCCTCATAGTCCGAGATCTGAGAACAGGGGCAGAAAGCGCAGAGCACAAATCTTACGAAACAAACATATCCTCACCAAATACCTCTAGACAGATCTGCCGAACGATTTATGCCCCTGCCAAATAAGCCAGAATTTTAGAAAGCCGTATCAGTTTGTACATTACAGGTAGGGCACCGCATTTTTTAAATTTAGTTCTGGTAAAATGCCAAAACTGCTTTCTGCAGCTTTATGTTTTATTATGAATTGAGCAATTAATGAAGTTTACGCCTGAAGGCAAGAAGTCTCTTCTCAAAATGTTTGTACAATAGAGCCTCTGTTGCTGTTCGAACCTAAGCATCAGCATTTAGTTTCATACTTTGAAATGCGAATAAATGCTAAGTTTAAAATTACTTAGAGCTCAGCATTTATTGGACCTTATTTTTGTTATGTTCCTAATTATCCATGATTATAAATATAAACAAATGTTATTGATACAAACATATTGAAAGAAATGGGAAGCCATATAATTTGTCAGCAAAATTACTAGAAATCTACGGGATACAGTTTCCACAGACAGGCACGTAGCCAGGGGGGGGAGCCTATGGGGCCCGGCCCCCCCCCACAAATCTTCCATTTTGTTGGTTCCTCCCCTCCCCGTCATACAGCATTTTGTCATGGGCAGCACCTCCCCGAAACGAAAATCCTGGCTATGTGCCTGTCACAGATATGAAAAGACTGCCTCCTCCTTCCTGCATGAAAGCCAAAGAGTTTAGTCCAAGCTCAAAGTATGAACAGTGGCTAGCATGACCACATGCTTACACCCTGTCTGGCGGGCATTCAATCACATTTATGCTGGGGGCCTGCGCATGCTACTTGTCATGTGCAGACCTAGGCCACCGAGGGATTCGCCACTCACACAAAGGCCTTTGGCATAAGTGACATTTGAAATGCCTATGTGAGAGGGGTATTAAAGTGGCCGCTGTTGTGAACCCCAAGATATATCAATGTTAATCAGTTACCCTAAACAGGCAGTGGTGCTAAGCCTCTCTTTATCAATCCTGCGAGGTTAGAAATAGGGCTCAACTGGCCTCATCTTAGTGAAGAACACTACCGACCTGGAACTCTACCCAGACAAAACTGAAGTGTCTTGGGCTGTTTCTCCAAGTGGTCTTGAATATACAAAACTTTACAAATAAATCGTCCCCCCTTTCCAAAAAAAAAAGAAAATTAATTGGAGTGTTTTCTGGTTTTATCAAAAACATAGAACACTAATTATAGGGTACCTATAGAGATGCAATTTGTTGCCATACATTCCTTGCATTTTCGACCCGTGACACTGCTGCCAGATTCTAGAATGTAGGAGTTGTCTCCATGTCTGATATTTCTAAATGCACCTCTTTTTTTTTTTTCATCTGGGTATTTGTTATTCTTGTGTAGCTCTTAGACGAGAGTGAACGAAATTTAAATATGCTGTATAGAGTACAGGCCCATTTCATCCTGACAAATCATCCCAACTGTAGAAAGATGATTTGGCCATTGGTGGACAATTAAATATTACTCTGGGTATTTAATGTGCATCAAACAGCAGTGATCACTGTCTTTACCCGATTATAATGTGGACCCAGTTTTAATGGTTGAGAATAATGATTCTTTAACATGGGTTTCATGTTCAATTTAATGTGCAGGCAGTTTTTAGGTACACTTTCCAAAAAAAAAAGATGAGCATTAGATACGGGTAAATAGGGTAGATGATGCATGCTTATATATTGCCCACTTATATGGGAAATGACAGCAGTTATGTCTGGCATATGACCTCCAAGTATGCAGTAAAGCATTTGTTCCAATTGCAGCAATGCTGCGACACATTTATCCACCGAAGCTTCTTAAGACGACGGCAATGCCGTCTGTTTCTTATGTTTCCTCTGTGATGTCTCTTCTGCTTCCCTCCCATAGTTCCTCAAAGCAGTGGATGCCTATCTGAAAATGGGTGATGTCACCAACAGGCGACCTGCCAGAAATATAACTGAACATAGACACCCTACATCTCAGAGAGCATGCACCAATTTTACTTCAAGAAATTGAAAATAAACAATTAACTGGATACTACCACCCCCCAAGGCTGTAAGCAAAACATTGTGTGCGTGAAACAATAAGGTAACCAGTTTTGTGACAAGCTATAGGATAAAGTAGGCAACCTTTGTCTTGCCAAAGTTGTTTCAGGTCTAGGGAACTTTACCTTCTGTAACATCTCGCAGGAAGACTGCCAAGTGATGCGCTCCAACTTCATGAAGCCAACGGTGAACCAAAGCGATAAGAGTTCCTTCAATATGGTATTCATGTGTCGAACGTCGTAGGAGGAAGGACTTTCCAGCTGCGACGACGAGATTAGATCCTGTGGGAAGTGCAAGAATATGGGAAATAAATCTTGAATTCGCATATCGAACATTCGCGAAGTGATAAAAAGAGAGTCAATTTGAGCACATCAGTGGTCCAGATGTGCTGCCTCTACAATTTGTCTAGACATCCTTCTAGTCAGAATATAAGTATTACTGGCATCATACTGGTAAGCAATAGCTAAGAAAAACCACATATAACAAGCATCAATTTTTTTGTCAAGTTCCTTTGTTACATGAGTAGTTTGTTGTCAGTAACCCGAGGATTACATACTATCAAAGGGTACTCCGGAGATTTTGTGAGCTACACCAACTACTGTCAAGACTGGACGAAGTCGGTTATAACGAAATAGCTGCTACACCGAAGCAATCATGATTTCCCATTCCCATTTGCACTTTTTCAACGCATTTGTGTCTGTTTTTAGAGAAGGAAATTGAGCGGCTCTTGTGGATATAGCAAAGAGAAATTTTGTGATAACTTAGAAAAAGAATAAAATTTTGAAAGTTTACTAAGTCTTGATCGTCGCACTTTGCTGCCGAGGCCAAGAAGCCACCCAGAACAGGCTGCAGAAGATGCTGGAAAGGCCACCTGTGGCAATCTCTGCAACGTCGTCTGCTCCCCGCTCCTTACCTGGGAAGAGGCTCTACTGCATCGCACGCGGAGAAGCCGTCGTGGCATGTTGATAGGGGCATTCGGAGCACTAGCGACAATGTTCCGGCGAAGATGATGCAGAGATGCTAGATTTAAAACAGGAAGCAGTAAGTATGCCTGCATTTGATTGTTGCGTGGCCTGTGTGGCGAGAAAACTGGGCGGAGAGGCGGATACGTTTGCAGAAGGTGAACGCTTTTGAGTTTGGACTCCTTGCGCGCTGCAGCTCCCTTTGCAAACGCGGCCCACAAACCACATGACCCAGATCGAGCAGTTGCCCCATCTCTTAAATCTAGGCTCTCTTTATCGAAGACAAACAAGCTTGAGCGCAAACTCGGTGCTTGGAACGCTTCTTTGTTTGCTTCATGATCCGTGTCGGCGTCTGGTCGGTGAAGTCACTCTTGCGCGAAAGTCTACTTCGTTCAAGCACCGATTCGGTGAATCATCGCCACTCAACGATAGAGAGTCCCGGCACCGCCGGCACCTTGACGGGGAAGACGAAAACAATCTTTGTTGAATCAAAAGCGTGCCATCCTTGAGAGGGTGTGCATACATATAAAGAATGTTGTTCGCCGCCAGCGTCCTTCGCGGGGCCGTCGCAGCTGTTGACATGGTCCGTACGTAGCAGGACCTTTTTTTCGATCGAGTTTCTCGCAGTTGGTGAGAAGTAGCTCCGATCTAGCAGAGGACGCGTGCAGGAAAGCCTCGACCGATTTCTGCAGGCTCGATAACATGTGCGCGTGACAATCCATGTTATCTTTTTAATGCGAAAGCATTAACTGTCTCATGGAGCGAGCTGACGTCATCAGTTGGAAGCGCAAAAACGACAGATAGTTTCCGCGCGCCTTCCGTTCCCTTGGCTGGCGTGCGTCGACAGGGCTCCCATTGGCCGCTGCGCCACGGCCTCTGAGATCCCGAAGCACGCGCGCGCTAGTACGCAGCAGACAACAAAGGGAGCGGATGATCGGCTTTCACGCTTTCGCATTCACAACTCATAAGGAATGCGTAGGTGTACCTCGAGTTTTTTTTCATATTATTTGTACGAGTTCATACATAACGAAGAAACGGATATAGCGAAGCGATTTTTGATTCCTGTTGACTTCGTTATAACTGGTCTTCACAGCAACTATATTTTCGGAATCCCTAGCCTTTACCCTTTCCGGTATGCTATTTACTACCGCGAAATTCGAAATAGTTATTGTGAAATCGGCAAGTGAAAATGATGTCAAAACCAACATTCTAATATACCCGAGCTTTTCAGTGCCGTGACGTCAGGGGAAGGCAGGCTTGCACGTCAAGGGGGCAGTCTAAAAATGGACTATGTTGAGGATTCGTCTCAAGCTGCTGCGCAGGTGCTGGAGCAAGCTTCCAAAACATTCATCTGACACTATAAAACTACTTGCAATCAGCTGGGAACAAAGTCAAGGAGTGAACCCCTGCCTTCCCCTGACGTCACTTTTTTATTGTTGCCGGGATGGTGAACCGAAATTTGGATTTAAAAAAAACTATGCTGGAGATGTAGGTGGGACGCTACAATTCCTACAACACAACTAGTAAGGCGATATATCAAATGGACGGCCATATTTCTGGGAAAAGAAGTCGAGATTGAAGCAGGCCGACGAGGCACGTCACGTCAAGATACCTAGTTTCCTCCTCTCTTCGTTTCGCTCCCTCACAGCTGCAAGGCGGAGAAGACGCGAGGCTGTTCCCTCTCCTTCTTGAAGAAACATGACGTCAACATTCCGGCCAAATGCGCCTCTTTTTTTTTTTTAAATATGGTCATCCGTTCGAGATATGGCTGTATGAGTGATGTTTTGGTGTTTGTAGCATCCCGTTGCATGCTTTTGCTGCGTGTTTTGGGGAATCCAGATTTCGGTTCAGCATCCCTTTAACCTCAAAAAAATGCGATGAGGACCAAACTTGTAAATTAAATTCTGTCAAGAAAAAAAAAAAAAGAAAGGCCCAATATTTGGGTTATTATTTTAGGGATGTTTGTTGGTGTGTTTAGCAAATTTTGAGGCAAATCGGGGATTATGAAGAAAACGCCAAAGCATTCCTTTAAGTGTGTTAAAAAAAAAAGGCATAAAGAAATTGGTTCATATAAGAACACTTCTTTTATAAAAGAGTTCTACTCTGTCATCGACATGCCCTGAAAATTTGAGGCATTTTAGAAATTTTTAGCACTGGAAGATTTTCTCTCTTAATGTTATGTTAAGAAAACCTAGCCTCATAAAGGGGTATCCACACGAGGGAGAAATCTCTCCCTTTTCTCCTTGGGGATGCACATCACGTGGTAACAACGTCAAGCTTTGGCGCATAGGCATGCTGACGTAGACACCCCAGGGGGGTGGGGGAGCATTTGCTCAGACTGCACAAATGCTTCTTGCCTTAGCATAAGATACCTTTGCGATAGGAGGTGTTTTGTTTGCGTGTCTGGCAACTTTACAGATTTTGTTCAGCCAGATACCAGCGGTGGCATCGGGATCACCTAACTTGTTGTGGCTTGCGCTGTAGCGCCTGTTGTCCGAGGCGCTCGAAGCAGTCTTCGATATTCATCAATGCTGCCCTCAAGCCGCACCTCATACAATTGGCTTTTGATTCCACGTCCTTTGTGTTGCATCCATTGATTCAAGAAGCTTTTTTTTTTTAGAAGGAAGCAGTTTGTCGTCGTCTGCATCTAACAGCGCTGTTGCAATAGTCGCATATTGCCATTTTATATAGGTCTTCACTTTTCTACTCTTGCCAGCGTGCACCGAGCCCTGTTGTCGAGAGTGTGACCACTAAATGTGTTTGATAACACTGACATCCCACTCAGCTCTCCGCCGTTCGTGCGAATGCTTGGGTCAGGGAGGTAGTCCCGTTGGTTCTTCTGATCACTGACGTCACGAACATCCCTCCCCGAAAAGCATCCCCCATGTGAATACCCCTAAGAGGGGCCCTGCAATCATATTTAAGCGTCTACCTTTTTTGCGGTTTCCACGTCTCTTGGGGTTCAGGCAAGCCAGCGGGCATGGAGAGAGTAACTAATTATCAGTGCATCATATTTTAACCGGATGACGCGTAAACCTCCTGCACCGACGGGGGTAACCCACGGTACCGAAAGTGCGCGATATGCGACGTCCTTCGTCCTAAACTTACTACTGGTCAGAGCCGCTAAAAGCTTCTTTTTAGTCCAAATACAAAAAATAAGTGGCATGAACCGTTTTAATTATTTGTAAAAGTAGTTTTTGTTCAGTACTTTAGATCAGAAAAGAAAATAATGCAGTTTATAAACTATGAAAACAAGAAATGACCCGTCGACATACAGTGTAGACCGCATATAACATATGTTGCGGGAGTCGCGAAAATCCGCACTATAAGTGGTACCGCGCTATAACCGAAACATAAATTTTTCAGGCCAAAATACATGCCATGAGACAACTTGGCTTTGTAAAACAATTTATTTTATGTTAGATGAAAAATAAAGCTTAGTTTGAGGAAAGTCTTTACTTCACCAGACTAGTACACTTCTCTCTCAAGTGTGTCACACATTTTGAAAGAAATGAGCGACTTTTGCCTGGCGCAGCCTTTTAACGGCGTCGCGGGTTACAGACAGATGCTGCGAGCGTTCAGGATTGCTAACCCTAATCACTTTTCTCCGGCGATGAAAACGCGTGAAAATTCTAATCCTTTATACGGTACGTGGCAGTAATACCTTCAACTTGAGCACAGGCATGAAATTAACCAAATAAGAAATCCGGGCGATTTTCGAAAACACAAATGCTTAGAAAGCACCACTGTAGTCGAAGTAAATAAACACAACGACACGGGCGTTTCTGCCGTCTTGAGAGTGCCGCCGACATCGCCGCACGAATAGGTGGATCTTTCCTTCTAGTATGTGCTGGATTATCATAGCGACACACAATGAAAATTTACAGTCAAGGATAGCGCTTTTACGGTACGGGGAACGATGAGCGTCCACCACGCCGTCTGCGTCGACGATCACAACCGACGCCATGTTTGCGGATAGAAGCAGCCGGCCCGCGACCGGCATGCAACGCGCGCGAACACTTCTCCTCGACCTGCGATTGGTCTGTCGTTGCAGTTGTTTCCAATGCAGCGGAGGGACGCACAGCACGCACGTGAACAACACTTGCGTGCGTCCTTCCGTCGCTATGGCAACTGAAGCCTCCCTCTTCGCTTCTCCCCGCTTCTTCGAGCAACCTGCTTGCCCTGCGAGTGCCGCTTGCGGCTCGCGCCGTTATCTAGTGTCGCACAGGGAAGCGTGCTCGCTGCGCGGGCAGAGCGGGTCAGTCGGCGCGGTTGGCGGGCTGCTCCAGAAACTGCACTATAACCGGCATTTCTCTTCGCGCGCCTGCATTTTAGGCGGTATGTAATTACATGGAGTTCTATGGGAGGCGAACCGGTGGTTTAAAAAAGCCGCATTGTACTCGGTCCTGCACTATAAGCGGTTATGTTTTAAGTGGTCTATACTGTACCCGCCACCAAGCGGTGGAAAAGGTGGCACATACTAGAAAGGAGTAGTGGGATCAGGCGCTGACATGGAAAGGTCCCGGATGTACGCAGCGGCGCTGCGGTTGTATAGACTGGAGGATCCGACTGGCTCCGAGCATTCCGAAGGCCTTCGGCGAGCAGCTTTGTCTTGCGGTCTGGCCATTTTGCGGTATGGCAGCGCGAAGTGGCTCCCATTCTGAACTGATCTTTACTCCGTGTTTCCTGTCGTTTGTGGCCAATGAAGTGTCATGCCGAATTAGAGTTTAATCGCGCAGCAAATGCAGTGAGAGCCACTCTGGCTGACCGCTGCATACAGCCTATCCAGAACATGCTTTAGTGGCGCCCTCTCACGCCGTCGACACGGAGTGCGGCAGCCGTGAGCGCTCGCTGAGCTCACTACCCCTCCTCTAGTTCACGGTCACTCAAGCAACCAAGGACGTCATGAAGGAGGTGGTCTTTTGCTTGTTTTTGTAATCTTAATTTGCCTATAACTTTTAAAATAAAGCGAAATTCAAGAAAAGAAAAGTTTCATTAAGTTACTACGTTCAGTGCGCTCAGGTTCGGTGCAAGTTAAAAACCAGTAAAAACGTCCTTGCAGGGCCCCTTTAAGAGAGAAAGAAAATAAATGAATATTATAAAGAGTTTGGTAGAATGGTGCTGGCTATTCCAAATGGTTCGGAGCTTAGGCTGCACCACACATAATGCATAAAAGGAAGCATGGTGATGATCTAACCTGAGAGGAAAAACAAGCACTTGCGAGCAAATAATATCAAAACAGTATTGTCCACAAAGGGCAATAGTGCTATTAAGGAAGCATAACATGGTGAAGCCATATTAGCTGGCTTAAGAGTACATGCTGGAGTGATCAAAAGTGCCATGAGGGGAGCACTGGATGCGTTAAGTGGTTTGGAAGGAAGTTTGAAATTGAAGTTAATAAAATAATCTAGAAGGAAAGGTCCCATACACCTCGGCTGCTTCGGAATGACGGGGCATGGACGTGAATGACAGTGGTCCTGATAGCACCCTATTGCAAGTGATGCTTTGGTATACACAAAGAAGCAGGAAAACATCACTTGCTAGGTCTATATTCGGTGTTTTTCTAGCTTTACTTTGAACAAAAACAATGGCATCATGCATCATATAAAAGTAAATAATGTCAATGAGCACTCGAGCAACTTCAACTCATCGTGGCAAGATGGACACAAGTAACTTATCGTCTGCTTTTGTTTTCTGCTTTTCTATCGCTTTCTCATTTTTTTTGTTGATGGACCACTGATGACAGCGCTTACGACGTGCTGCATTCTGCTCCCGTCTCCACCGCCTGGTTAGATTGAATTGCCATTATTCCCTATTATCAAACTGTAGAAATCCGTTCCATGGATTAGCATGTCGAAGGTGTCCCACGTGGCACTACACTTCTGCTGGCACTCAGCTGAGTCAGCTCATGTTGCTGCCCCATTATATGCCGGTGAGCCACTCACCAGAAGGTCTTCCCTCATGTCCACAAGGAACTTCACTCCGCCTTCACTTCGGCCAAGGATGTGGAAGAACGAGAGGTACTTTGGCGTGAGGAGAGTGCTCAGACGTTCTTCGTCTCGGAGCCTGAAGGCAGATTCCTCCACCTTGACAGAGAGGCAACGTCATCTGTTGCTAAGTATACCTTTGCTATGCTCCGCTTCACTTTACAATGGACCGCAGCCGACACTATAAGCCATCCCAGCCAATCCAGCACCGTCAGTGTGACCACATGCCCCGCAAATCACTGTGCCCCCCCAAAGGTCATGTGACACTCACATGACATGGGACTGGCTTCAAAGGCTGGTAGCGTCCTCTGCGGCCTACCGTGAGGTGAAACAGAGTACACACTCGCGACCAACTAAAACCGAGAACATGAAATACCGAACCCAAGACCCAAAAAAGTAGAAGACAGCAATACTAATCCATAGGTAATCCAGCGTAAACAGAATGAATATCATTAATATCTATAGATGTGACCACGCAACTCACTTGCAAGCATAACCTAAAATACGACTCCAGCAACAAGATACCTTTTAACCATGATCCTCCATAACCCAAGCCTGCCGGCCTCGCTTAGCAGGGCTCAAAAATCATGTGATAAAACCATCTTAATACTGCAATCGTGGCATCCTTCAACAGTGCAAATATGGATTATACACGCTAGTCAGCCATTCGGTTTGCCATATCACCTACAGTCTTGTTGTTGACTGTGCGCCGTGAAGGCCCAGTTAGAGGTGCCTCGGCTGTGAAAGATGAAGCAGATCTCAACCCGACAAGAGGCCAAAGTATGCCTTATCTCCTCAATCCAAAACAGCTGCGTAAAGGTGTCGATACACTTGATCCACTAAAAAAAGCTGCTGCTGCTCAGTTCCCTGCCCGGCCCAGGGCCCACGCAGAGCATTAGAGTATGGGGCATACTCTAATGCTCTGCATGGGCCCTGGGCCGGGCAGGGAACTGAGCAGCAGCAGCTTTTTTGGAAATGGAAAATCTACGCCGCTGGTGGGGCACCAGCGGCGTAGATTTTCCATTTTCCTGGGGGGGGGGGGGGGGGCAGACTGAGAAGTTCTCCGGGGGGGGATGCTTTTCCGCACATTTTTTTTTACACCGGCAATTATCAGTAGTTTATTTTAGGGGGTACATTTTACAGCGTATGTATGTCGCCATGTGTCTGTCGCTATGTGCGTTATTGTTTACATGCCACTACTAGAAGCTCATTACATGGCACGTAAACAGCGTCTTGGTAAGGATGAGACAAACAACTTGTGCATTTACTCTATAGACTTACACGGGTGTCCAGGTAGTGCCTAACTGCAGACTCAAACCGGTCCCTGTTTATGTAGAACTCCTTTGCCAGGTGCTGCAGGAATGCATATCTTTCATCTTTTGTTCCCTGCTTGTAGATGGAGCAGAAGGTTTTCAGTTTGCTCTGAAACATAATGCGAAGTAATCTTTGAGGAATACCACACAATTGAATATTTTTTTCTGTAATCAAAATGTCTTTAGCTTCGTGGCAAGCAATATTCTACTTGGCACAGCGTTTAACTATGGCGAATCTGGCAGTGCAGAAGTGAAGAATATCAGATGTGGAAGCTTGTCACTGACCTCTCCGTGGCTCGTCTCCTTGTATTCAATGATGGAGCCTGTTAGAGCTTTTAAGTCCACGGTTTTCATGTCAATCTTAATGCTTGACATCATCCTTGTCCCGGGTACATACTTGTCCCGGGTACATACATTTCTTCTGAAGAAATACGAAAACTGTAAAATCAAAAGGACATCATCACTTTCTCCTAATCTAAGAGTGTTAAAGTTGAAGAACCGCTATTCAACCAATTGACATGGAAGCTTGCAGTTTTGCAGGAACCTCGTAGAAAATAAAAATACAGCGATCTACTAAAAGCATTCGAAACAGGGTAGCTCGCATCACTGTGGAACTGATCTCCAGGATTATGCGAACAATCGTGGCTCTTCTCATTTAGCTCTAGGTTAACAGCAACGTTACCATTGGTTAGCCTGTCGAGGTCTTGGCTAAACTGACACATACTGATCCGAATACAAACGGTTGACAGTTGTCTTTTCGACCGCCAGGTAATTTCGTAACGCCACTGTTTTCGAGAGCAACAGCGCAACTTTTGTAGATTTAGCTCCATAAACCAAATATAAAAGAACTTGTGACGAAATGGTTCGATACAAACCATTATACACTCCGTGCGACGCGACTGGCGCGCCGCCGCGCGGCCGGTACCGAAGGTAGGCTGTGAGCACCCTAAAGAAAACGAAACCGAAACCACGCCGCGTACGTTGGTACGCGTTGAAGTCGGAGTGGTGCTGTTGCGCTGGGTTCACAGCATGAAGTGCTGCCTGTGCTGCGTCATTAAGTGCTTCAATAGTTATGCGTCGTATCTCGTGGAGACAAAGTTTCACAGTTTTTCACCTCGCCGATGTTTTGTGGGACAGCGACAACGATGGAGCCGGGCCGTACGACGCGAGAAATTTGGTGTCCCGATCATGTCTGCCACTCTGTCGGCACGGCTGACATATTCTACACTGCCGCTTTGCGCTCTGCGTTCGTTTGCGTACCAGTAACGCCTACATGTGTCAGCGCCGATGGGACGAACTGAAATGCCATCCCACACTCGCGGGTATCCAGTGCCAATTTCGTTGGAGGAATGCCCTCCAAAGAAGTTTCGTCCCCATCGTACTGTCTATGATATTTCCGGACAAATATGGCACGCAATCTGTACTTCATGAAGAAAGATTTGAACGGTAAAAAAAGTGACAAATATAAATCTAAAGAAAGCAACCATGAAACTCAGAATCACTGGAGAATCGGCGTTTGCGTATGAAAGTTTATGTGGTGTGCTTTCTTTCTTGATTAGCCTCTTTTGGATGTGGAAACACTGACACCCCGAGTTCTGTAGACAACAATTTTTTTTTTCTCGGCTTTAGAGCCACCTATCGCAAAGTGGTTCGAATTTGGAAGTACCGTCCACTGGTCCCTTCCTACCTGTAAAGTGTGCACCTCCCACGATGAGTGGTATTTTCTGACAGCCTTTGACGGTCAAAGCCAGTTCCCACTTAGTTACGCCGCCCAAACTAAATTTCCAGCTGGTTTCGCTATGCCAACTATTTTTGTTATAATAAGTGTTGTGCCAAGTGACGGTCATGTCAAAGTACCTGTGGGCCGAAAATCAGCACCTCGCACAAAAGGTTATTACACAACAGCTGACCGCAAAAGCCCTTGGCGGCCAAACCGTGTGTTGGCAGACAACTTCGTTTTCTCGGCTTTGGAACCACCTTTCGTAAAGTTGGTTCAATTGGAAGTACAGTCCACTAGTCCCTTCCTACCTCTAAAGTCTCCACCTCCCCCGACCAGTGGTATTCTCTTGACAGCCTTTTCATGGTCAAAAACGGTTCCCATTGAGTTACGCCGCCCAAACCAAATTTTCACCTAATTTCCCTATGCCACTTTTTTTTTTTTTTGTATAAGTGCTGTGTCATGTTACTGTCAAGTCCAAGCACCTGTGTGCCCAAATCTGCACTTTGCACAGCCCGCTATAACACAACATTTTGGGTCCAATATTGGATATACCGTACAGCTTAATTTCTTCATTCGTTAGAAACAACTTTCACACCTGCTGTCTTAATGAAACTTGGCACACTTCGTGCAGAAACTTTGTGGACATCTCACTCGCCTCCAATATCATCGTTCCAGCAGTCCTACGTTTACAGCGACAAGCGAAATAAATTTCCCACTCAAAGCAATTATGGTGGCGGCCGTCTTGCTTTTCGGAAAATTGCTCCAACTCCTTTTTTTGCCGCAACTAGAGAAATTCCCCCGAATAACGACTAAAACTCAATATATAAGAAGAGGAGAACAGCTAAATTCCCTTCTTAGGTCTGCCCCAGCATTCATGCAACGTCACCCTCAACGTATCGGCTCAAAAAGCAAAAGATTCGTCCGTGCGCGCTTCCGCCGCCACAGCTTGGCATGCGACAAGGCGCCGCAGGCTGCTGAACGCGCCTCACGGTCGAACGCCAGCTCCTCCGCTAGCGGCGCTGCGCGCGTTTTTCAAAGCGCCCCCTATAGTTCCCGCACGGAGTGTATATCACAGCTGATTGGGAACGCACTGTCGTAAAGCTCATTCTGCGATGACGTTCATAGATTTGCTGGGTTTTTTTGCTGGACTCGTGGGTAGAAATAGACGTGCACACCGCACCACCAATATCGGCCCCAGTTCTTGCGTTCTTAACTAATCTGTGCGATCAAGCGAGGAATAACTAATTACGGGAACAACTACACAGTTGCACCCTAGAGCCGCAACCTGAAGAATGGGCCCATAACAAGCTAGGCAGCCGCAATGCTATCGCAGCGAACACCTTGGATTGTCTACGAATTGGATCTAGCAAAGAAGGTAGCCACAACAATTAAAGTTCCGATTTCGTTTTTGCACCTGCGATGTAGAAATTACACGAGACCAAAAATAAAGAGCCTACTCAATATTTTTATCTGACAGTGCAGAAGAATCGAAGAATGCGTATGCATAACCTTGATCGGCGATCAAGGTTATGCCATATGGTTATGCACACGCATTCTTCCTCACTGCCACTAAATGTTATCCCGCGGGGACACCGGGCGAGTCAAAGCGATCGTCAACATATCAGTTCTTCATTTAATTTAATTTATTTTCCGCTCAAAAAACAACAACAACAACAACAACAACAACAATAACAAAGAATACACCAGAGAGGCCGAAGGCCTCTCTGCTGTATTGTAAGTGCTGCTAAGGGATTATTTTATTTGTGAAAATATCGAAGAAACCTGTCTCAGTCAATAAGTACAGATTAAAAACAAAAATGCTCCCGTGGACCGATATTTCAAAGATATACGTGAAATGTACGTGGAGTACACAAAAACTATATACGCCGGCTATTGAAAACAGGCCCTGCGAAGCATGCGATGTGAGAGTGCCCTCACATTGGACCGCGCGCATTTTCTGCGACTCTTTAGCGCACCAAGAATTCTCACTTTAAAACCACCGTTCACCTCTGTGCCGTCAATTTCTTTCTTTCTGACCACCCTTGAGCACTTTTATACATCGTAAAAATAATAAATTTTCCATCCATGTTTTTTTTTTTTTTTTTTCACGCTTTATTTACGCGTTATTTACACCCCATTGACGTCCAATTCACGGTACTGCGGTAGCCTCAATTTGGTCATATTTCTAGCTTTATAACTTCAAGTGCACAAAAACAAATGCAGCATGTTGTTTACAGATTCTGTTAGTACCTATCATTGGCCTTAATGATGGAGAGTGTTTGCTTTAATTGAGTTTCAAAATAACTCCTAAATATTAAAATGGTCCCATTTGAGCATTTCTTATAAATTTGCTAGGCTACCCCAGGACAAGAATATTTAGCACCAATATTAAAAAGATACAGGACAACTCGATGGCAAAGTTTGTAAGTTCTGGTATTTATAGATGTTGGGGAAAAAAACAAATACAATGTAAGTGTTTTTGCGGAATGTGCCATGTTTGCGATTTTTCTCTGAAAATTAACAGCGTCGATACTTAATTATAAATATTACGGGTCAATCCTCTTTATATATAGTTTGTGAGTAAATATTTCTAGACCTGTAGCCCGATAGCTTTTTGGGAGAGGTTCCCGAAACGCCAACTTCGCGCAGTTCGCAAAAATTGCTTCGCACTGAGAGTGTGCTTCTACTTTTTTCCGCAAAGACAAACATCTTTTTCGCAAAACAGATTTTGGTTTTGTTTTGATGGGCATATATTCGAGAAAAAAATACTTTTTTTCGTAAAATTTAAAAATAGTCACCGGAAATGGTCGGCGAAAATCTGAAAACACCAAATGCGATTTCGCGTCGCAAATAATTATTCGAAATAAATAATTTTGCAGTGCAACACGGTAATGAGAAGTCAAGCTCTAGATACAGAAGAGGCCGAATAAATATATATTGGTAAGCTTAATTTAGTTTTGTCATTTTGTCGATTTTTATCGCCAACATTACTCGACACTTATTCCTCCATCCTAGTTCTAAATTAGTAATTACTATCGTTTTGTTTGTGATATAGCTGGAACAGTATTAACAAGTGAGGTCCCACCTTACTCTTTCGTGTCTCGAATGTCGAAGTTGAGGGGTGAAAGTATTGTAAACAGAAAAAAAAAAAAAAGATTGCTTAAAAAAAAAAAAAGAACACGAGGCTTGCTTGATGCTAATTTGACTGTCCCCTAACCAAAAAAAAGAAAAAAAAGAACGTTGTAATTTTTGCTTACAATGTGTGAATAAACGAAAGCGATAGCGGTAGCACGGTCGCGCAATGAGGGTAGAATGGAGCCGTCACGTACCTGAGGACGGAGGTGCGACCTTTCTCATTAGCCCCGAGAGCGAACACAAGCGTCGCTGCGGTCGCCGCGCCCTGATTGGGTGAGGCGTACCGTGACGTCAGGGCGATGACTCCGCTCCGCGATCTCGCATCGGCTCGCTTCCCAGCACCGGTTTCCTGGTTTGGCGTTGTGTGCCGCAAGCTCTTCGAGGAGCTGGACTTCGTTTACCCGGTGTACTAGACGTTGAGTTAGGCCGATATTGACGTGCTTCCGTACATTTTATAAGGCTGCTTGTCCCTTTTACCTTTAAAATTGGGTTACAAAGCCCGAAAGCTATCTGCGGAGGCAATTCCGCCGATGAACCTCCCCGCCCGTCCACACGACACAAGGCAATTTTTGCGAAGGATCGGTGGAGCGGTGGCGCAAGTGTTTCAGACGCTTGAATTCTGTCCCTTGCATGTTCATGATTTAGGACGACATTACATCCCGCTTTCAAGGCATTTGAAGTGGCATTTATATCATGGGCCTTTGGGTGGTCGGCAAATTAGCTTGGGACTCCGACTTTGCGCTGCCGCTCTGCATACGCTGGTTCGCAGATGTTTTAAAGGCCCTGTTTCTGAATATCTTTGAAGTGCTCATAGCACAGGGTTGTTTTACATAAATGTCGCTTCTTCGTAAATTAATTATATAGTTTATACACGTTTGCAGGCAGGCATATTTCTTTGAA